TCAGGGAGCTGTAGAACCTGACTATAGTTTGATAGCAGAGTCCCTGGAACATGCAATGTTTTCATGCCCAGGGTCCAGTGGCACTGACCTTGGTGTCCACTTCCTGATTCGACCTTTCTCCATCCTGGTGAAGCAGAGCCTCGCTCTGTCCTGGCGGAGATGTCCTGCCTCTCCACAGCACCTTATCATCTACTCTCATCACCTGCATCTGTGTTCTCACCGTATGGTTGGGACCCAAGCTTGCCATTTTGCTGGTCAATAGAAGGATGGAACAGTTCTGTGTCCTGGGTGTCCTTTAGTTGACTGGGACTCCAACCTCAGAGCCTCCTTGCCTTGGCTGATCCAGTCAGCTAGTGAGAGAAGGATGCTCTGTGTGTGTGTGTGTGGGGGGGGTTGATGTCTTTTGAGGTGTTTCTTTTGTGGGTGGCGATGTTTGCATCTGCCCAGCATATAAGCTAGTGTCAAGCCAGTGTCACAGGGTGGTTTATGGTGTAGCTAGCCAGGCCACTTAGTGCTTTTGTTTGATGAGATTTTTGCAGTCTTAATGGTGTGCTGTGTGTGTGTGTGTGAAGGGTACACAGAAAAGCTGGTGGCCTCATGGTGGGCAGAGAAGGAAGATTCAGCTGGTGCCAGTGCCTGTGCTCATTGGACACTCAGAAAACAGGAGAAAGACTTAAACCTGCCACTCTGTGGTGGTGATGTCCATACTACCTGGGGACCTGGAATCCTCATGACTACACACACACACACACACACACACACACACACACACACACACATATACACACATACACACACAGAGTTCTATATGCTGGAGCTCTTTCCCAATGTGAGAACACAACCTAGTTTCTTGGTGAGTAGTGAATGTGCAGCCTGCTCTTCCAGACACCCACAGGTGGACATGTGCTGAGCTGGACAGTGTCTCCCCTCCCCCCCACCCCAGCTGCAATTCAGAAAGGGCCTGCAGAATAAAGGAAGTTAGCTGGTTACCCCCTCCGTGAAGCCCTCCTGCCCCTCATCCCCCAGCCCATGCCGCAGGAGAAAGGCTGAGTGCTTCCCTTGCCTCTGCTCGGACCACGACAGCTACTTCCTCTTTCTAAGCCACACCCCCTACACACTTCTGGGGTCAAATACTTGGACAAAGAGCTCATTTCACGTGTGGCTGGCTTGTGCTCTGGGCCCAGGTCTACAGCCCAGCAGTCTGATCACCAGGAAGCCATGGATAAGGTGCCCTGGATGCCGTGCTGTGCTGAACCTCCCTGCAGCCTGAAGAGCCACAGAATAAACAGCTTTGTAGTGGGACAGCAGGTCCATGTCAGAGCCCAGAGCCCAGCCTGGCCTTGGCTGGTGCCCAATGCTCTGCCCCAACAGGGCCCCACTAATCCCCTCAGAGGCACTATGCCTGCTGAGACCAGTTAAAGGTTAGAGCGTAGAGGGGATTAGCAGTAAGAACATGAGACCCTGACCTTGGCTCTCCTGCTTGTCGGAGTGTGGACGGGCTGTAACCGACACTTGGGGAGAGTGCCTAAGTCAAGGAGAAGCAGAAAGGGATTGGACCCCCATACCGAGTGGGGAATGACTGGGGATAAAAACTTGCCTCCTCAGCGTCCCTGGCCCTTGGGAGTGGGATACAGGTCAGACGGGGGGGGGGGGGGGGTGTCTCTGCCTACAGAACCCTTACCATACTCCTCTGAGCAGACTTCCTTCTCTGGAGTTTATCAGGATGGATCCTCACCTCCCTCGGTGGCTGCTCAGACCCCTTGCTGGATGTGCAGTACTCCATCCAGATGTGGAAAGGGAAGCAGAATCAAGACAACATCACCCACAATACCAGCTTTTTGTTGGGTGCTGCTTTGCCCTCGAGGGGCCATCTGCTGGCAGAGCGGGTACAAGGAACCGCAAAGCACAGGCTGGGAGCTGGGGGCTCCATTAGCGCAGAGACTCCTACTTGCCCCAAGTCTTTGCCTCCCTGGAGCTACATCCTGTCCCAGTCCCTCGCCAGGATGTGGGAGTGTCAGGATGGGAGGGTCATTGAGTACCCTCATTGGTTCAGTTCAGTTAAGGTTACAGAGCCTTTGCAGTGCAGCCCCAGGTTACACTGGGAGCATGATCGATGTCTGCCGTTGGAAGATTATGGGGAGATCGGTGGTAATTAAATATCCATATGTCAGCCCAATACGCTTCTATTTGCAATTTTGAATTGGTGCTGAAAAAGGAAACTGGTGTGTGTGTGCGCGCATGGTGCACAGGTTTCTGTAGTGGGGAACAGTTGGGAGCTAGGGAAAGGGTCTATAGAGAGAAAGAAGAAAGCTGAAGGTTTTCTGGGTGCATGGCTGTCCAGTACCTCATGATTCAGGTGGCCCAGTTGGCGCTTGCTGAATGTTTCACCCATGGCATCCTCTGTGGCTGTTTTCCGACATACCTTGACCTCCAGCATTTGCTGACCCTTCCACTGCCTTTTCAGAAACCTCTTTCTGAGCTGTCAGGCTCTGCTCTCCTCCTAGGCAGCAGTGAGGGTCCTGCCCATGTGTTCTTCTCTCTCCGAGGACACATGTGGTCTCTGCTGGTTGGAATTTGTACATCACTGGGACCAGCCCATGCGCTTCTCTCCCAGGGGTCCTCTTTTTCTCCAGATACACATTTGGCTATTCTCATGTTGAGGGTCCTGGGACAACCACCATTGGTAACCTGAGTTTGAGGATGACAGAAAGCTGAGGGCTGGGGAAAAGTCCGGGCTGTGCTGTGAGGATTTCCGCACGGGCCATGTGCAAGCAGAGATGATTAGCTTTAGCTCCGATGGAAGGGAGGGAGAGTTTGACAAGAACAGGGGAAGTAAAAGTGCAGCAAAAAGTGAGAGTCCTTGCCTAGACTGCTACAGCTGGTTATCAAGTGCGGGGAAGGCTTCTGGCACACCCTAGTGGCCACTCTGGAAACTGACGCCTCGGGGAAAGTAGGGACAAAAGCCCCCTCCCCCCATTTCCTTAATACTGATAAATGACAATGAGGTTTAAATGCTAAACTGTGTGCTCACAGGATCTTAACCAGGCCCTGCATGACAGACAGTGTCCATTCTACAAAGTCCTCAGGGGCTGGCGCAGGGCAGAAACAGCTGAACCTTAAGCCTTCCCACCACTTCCTTTGCTGTCAGCTCCGTCCTGGTTTTGTTGTCGGTGTTGTTGAGCCTGCCAAGACTTGCCTGTTCCTACCGGCCTGCGTGATGCCTCTTCTGGGCTTGCAAGCCATTCCATTTGATCATTTAAGCAGGAGACAGGCTTCCTGCTGTGGACTGACTGGCCAGGGCTAGCCTGGACTTTCCAAGTGGGGTTACCTAACCCCAAGCTCTCAGCGTCCCACTCTGTGTGGCCAGTGGTAGCAGGCTCTGCCTTGACCCGGTTGCCCAGCTATCAGCTGCTCCTTCTCCTCATGCCTCGGTTAGTTTCTGGCACGAGCGCTCGTGGAACTGAGTTCCTGAGATACGGTTTGACACGGTGCTGGATACGGAGCACTAAGAACCCATTTATTATAAGGATCCGGTGCCACCGCAAAGGCCGTGCAGCCATTTTTCATAAAGGCTCCTGGGAGAATTCCTGTCTCAGCTGAGTGCCCAAACAGCTGTACCCCTGGCATTCGGATCCACTTAGTCTATACATAGATCACGTGTGCTGCTGATCCCCCTTCATTGCTCTCAGAGCGTTGAGCCCCTCCTCTGCCCTGGGTGGCAGGCCTGTGAATCACAAGGCACATTCGGAGCACCCGCCATTGATTTTTCTTCTCTTTGCTGAGTCCTCCGGCCTGCCGTCTTGCTGGTTTGCAAATCCCTGCAAGCTACTGTAAAGTCTGTACAGAAAAGGCTCGGGCTCCATTGATTGGCTAATCGATACAGATAACAAACCTTTCTTGCAGAGCTGAGGGGGGGATTAGGTGGATAAGGCACAGGAGGAACTGCCAGGATTCTCTCTCAGGCTTTGCCTTCCGGTGAGCTGCCTGCTGTGCTGTGCTGAGAGGCTTTCTGGACTCGCTGCTCCCTGTCTCTGTGTTGCATCCCGCCCCTGTGTCCCCCCACATTCACTGGAGTGCTTGCCTTCTCAGATGGCTAATACTTTATCTTCTCTCTACCTCCCAAATGCCTCTGTTAGTAGTGGTCCCTCACTTCAGGGATTTCAAGGACCCCAAAGAGCCAAGCCCCTCAACTGAACATGTGTCTGAGTCTCTTCAGGCTACTGTAACGAAATACCACAGGCCGGGTGGCTTATAAACTACAGAAATGTATTTCTCGCCGTTCTCAGTGGCAAGATTCACAAGCTGGTGTGTGGAGAGGGCCCATTCTCTGGTTCACAGAACTCTGACGTCATTGTGTCCTCATCCAGCAGTGTAGCCGAGGATCTAACAGGACGTGGTTGCGGGATCATCTAGTGTTGGCACACACATCCTGTCCCAACCCCCATCCCCGTCCTTGTCCTTAAGGCTCTCTGGGGTCCTCACAGCCTGCAGGCACCGCCCCCAGCATACTTCAATTGCCCACCAGTATCATCAGTTACCTCAAAAACAAACACGTTTTAGAGGACAGTTGGTGATCTGGGTTTGGCAGCAGTTGGAGGTCTAACCTGGGGTTTTCCTGCAATTGTTGGGGTCAGCAAAACAGAGGGGAAGCCAGAGCAACTAAGGGCCATGGGGACCTCCCTTCTCTGCGCTTCCTTTCTGTGCAGCTCCTTCCTGGGTAGTTGGGGTTTAGCCAATCCTGGGGGCCTGCTGGGGCTGATCGCAGCTAACTTTCCTCTAACCGTCCTCTGCCCTGCGGGAGGTGACTGGGCACAGAGTGTCCCAGGGTCTGTCAGGACAGAAACTCCCCTTCTGACTCTACCATTTGTTCATTCAGCCACAGTCTACAGAACAACTAAAGCCCCTCTAGACACTGGAATGTGGTCACCCATGAAGCCACTGGCCTCACTTCTCACCATGACACCCCTGACTGGTACCTTCTCTCTGTTTGTTCCCCCCAGGGACCTGAGTGAGAATGCTCTCCAGGCTGTGCCCAGGAAAGCTTTCCGGGGAGCCACAGACCTCAAAAATCTGTGAGTAGAGGCCTGAGCTGGCCACCCTAGCAGCATCCTTATTGTGCCATATGTTCTAAGTCACCTTAGCGGGATTAGGCAGTGCCATCCCTTGATTGTTGTTCTATGTGACAGCCAAGTATGTGTCCTGGGGACTGGTTGAGGGGGGTATGAACCATGGGGTACCCAGCCATGTTCCCAGCCTCTGGTTCCCCAGTGCTGTCTGGGTTCAGTCTCCTCCAGTCATACAGCTCAAGCTGTTGCGAGTCAGTAAACATCACCGAGTGTCCATATATTGTCCTAGAAAACAATGTGCCCCCTACAAGCTTATTCTGAGGTTGCAATGAGATGTGGAAATGCGTAGGCTCTGTCGAGTACTGTTTAAATGCAATGGCTTATTAGTATTCAAATTTATTCTGGTCCAGGCTTACCACCTCCTGAGGTCTGGCTACAGAAATGGCAAATGCCTGGCACGCTTGTCACACACACCCCTCCCATGCCTGTAGCAGACATTGGTAATCGATCACCACATTCTTTCCCACTGCACTCAGATCACAGCTTCCGTTCGCTCTGAAAGCGGGCACTCCAGGTAGCCAGTGCTAGCCAATCTCGCTTGGCATTCAGCAGAACCCGGGCTGCCAGCCCCTGCTGCCACTTCTCCTGGGTGACTCTCATTTGTCAGCTGCCAACACCCTCTAGGTGGTCTCCAAAATGTGAGGGATGGATGCCTGCTTCCCAAGGGACATACGGGGCTGGGTGGAGGAATGTAATGGGACTTTTATTTCAATTTACTGTCTTAACTGAAAATAAGAAGAAACCAGCTTTTATTAATAGTTCCTTTGGACTGGCCCACACATAACAAACCATTGACGCTGTGACTCTCTGAAAATAACGGAGTGATCTGTCAGAATGTCCAGCGCCCCGTTCTGGGCAACGCTTCCCCGACTTACTGCTTTCCTCTGCTTTACAGACAGCTGGACAAGAACCAGATCAGCTGCATCGAGGAAGGGGCCTTCCGTGCCCTGCGGGGACTGGAGGTTCTGTAAGTAAAACCCAGGGCAGGCCATGGCTGGAGAGCTGGTGCAGGCTGCCAGGCTCGGGTCACACCTCAGCTTCGGTGTGGGTTTACTGCTCCAAGTCCAGATATGGGTGTTTGGCAGTTCCCTGCCATGGAGGCTGAGAATCTGCTCCTGTGTGTGTGTGTGTGTGTGTGTGAGAGAGAGAGAGAGAGAGAGAGCTGGCGTTTCTTCTACGGCTCTTTCCAGCTCCGTTTCCCTATCCTCCCAGACTTAGAGTCAGCCCAGGATGTGCCAAGAGTGCAGCCACCCGCTCAGCTCTGGGCTGTCCTCCATACCCGGTGCCCTCTGGGTAAAATGGCACACCTGCTGTAAGCAGGCAGGTTCCGTCTCCTGTAAATCCCTGCTGGGCGAGTGTTGAACAGTCCATCTGTCCCTTTCAGGACCCTGAACAACAACAACATCACCACCATCCCCGTGTCCAGTTTCAACCACATGCCCAAGCTTCGGACCTTGTGAGTCGCTTGGGCAGTGGGAAGAGGGTGTGGGTGTGGGTGGGGCTGCCGGCCAGGGTAGCCCGGGATCTGAAATGGAAAAGTCCCTCCTGCTTGGTTTTTCCTTGGACAAAAAATGACTTGGTTTTGTCCTTGAAGTTGAGGTGGGTGATCTGGGCAAGGGACCATGTGAACTCTGAGAGATGAATCCATGCCCTGGAGGAGGCCTTGGGAGAAGGGAGCCAGGAAGGGTTTCTTACAGCTGGGAACAGCCCTGAGTTGGGACTGATTGACCCCCCCCCCCCGAGGACTTGCTCCTACAGGGAGGGGGGGTGAGGAGCTGGCTGCTGATGGATTCATGGGTTCTATTGCTGTGAGTCACTGTCCTCCTGTAGCCGCCTGCACTCCAACCACCTGTTCTGTGACTGTCACCTGGCCTGGCTCTCACAGTGGCTGAGGCAGAGGCCCACCATCGGGCTCTTCACCCAGTGCTCAGGGCCCGCTGGCCTTCGGGGCCTCAATGTGGCCGAGGTGCAGAAGAGCGAGTTCAGTTGCTCAGGTGGGTACCTTGGCCTTCACTTGCTCTCACCTCCTTCTGGACTGAAGCTCCCTCTGCCCCACCCTTGCTTAGGATAGTGTCTGCAACCACCCCATGTTAAGCACTCACTTCTGCCCTGTCACCTCCGCCCATCCCCTCTGGACTGTGTCATCTTCCCCCGCCTTCTCACCCATCTCTTTTGGTCTGTGTGTTTTCTTTCTTGCCTCCTCTTTCCCCCCCCAAGTCTACCCCCATGCCCTCTGCTCCCCCACTCTCTGTCCCCTTCTGTCCCAGTCTCTGTTCCCTCTGCTCCCACAACATGCTTCTCCTGTTCCTTATGCCAGTCATTCCCTTTCCTGCCCTCCCTCCTCACCCTTTGCTTCACTGCAGGCACATTAATGGATTGCTGCCCTCGGCTTCTAGTGAGTCCTGCCCCTTCTGGGGTCTGTGCTTCATTCCACACAAAAACATGCCGGGAGGTGAATGCGCTAACGGTGTATCAGCATGAAGTGGAATACTAAACTGGGCACTGTGGCACACACCTGTAATCCCAGCACTCGGGAGGCAGAGGCAGACAGATCTCTGTAAATTCAAGGCCGGCCTGGTCTACAAAGCGAGTCCAGGACAGCCAAGGCTATGCAGAGAAACCCTGTTTCAAAAAAACAAAATAAAGCAAACAAACAAAAAAGAAAACAAAAACCAAAAACAAGCAAAACAAAGTGGATTACTACTCCACTTTGGGTCAAGTTACTTAACTTAGGGTCAAGTTACTTGTGTCCACAAGCAGGTGAATCTCAGATTTTGTAGATGGAGGAGACCCTTCCTTGTGATGCTACCTTGGGGAAGTTCACAAAGAGCCACAGATTTTTGGAGCTGCATCTCAGAATAGCAATATCCTTATGGAAGGGTCCAGAGGGGCCTCCTTGGGGATAGAAATGCCCATCTGGGTAGTGTATCAACCGGCTGCACATTTAAAATGGTGGACTTCATGTAACTTATTTATACCTCAGTGTTTAGAAGCGTGAACTCTGACACCACACAGCAGGGTTGGCCCTGCCTGTGATGTTTAGACATTGGGCCTCGTGAATTTCTAGCAGTTGATGGGTGTCACGGTCACAGGCAATAATAGAATGCTCCTCAGGGTGGTGTGGGGGGGGGGGGGTTCGTGTGAGACTTTCACAGAGTGTACTGACCATGGTGTGGGCACTGAGCCAGTGCTCAGTAAATATGGCTCCCACTGATACGGGGACCCTGGCTCAGGAGGCTGAGTGCCTGGGAGCTTCAGATTTCTGGGATAGAATTTTTAGCATAGGAGCCATCTTCAGGAGCTCTGTTCAGAGAGTTCCAGGGACCCCAGTGTGTGCTCATGTTCTTGCACCCCCAGGAAGGTGCGGAGCCCCCTCCACGGCCTGTGCCCCGTTCTCTCCCAGCAACAGACCTGGAGGGGGAGCAGCAGTGTAAGGCTCTGACATCACACCCACTGTCTCTGCAGGCCAGGGGGAGGCCACACAAGCACCCACCTGCGCCCTCTCTTCCGGCTCCTGCCCAGCCATGTGTACCTGCAGCAGCGGCATCGTGGACTGCCGTGGCAAAGGCCTCACCGCCATCCCGGCTAACCTGCCTGAGACCATGACCGAGATGTGAGTGGAGGCCCCAGGACATGGCTTCGGCTCTTCAGAGAGCCGAAGAGAGCTGGAGAGCTGGAGCGGGTGCCACCCTGGCCTTAACCAGGTTTCTTAGCGGCAAATGGAGCTCTCTGGACAAGGCTGGGAAGCTTCCCAAGCACTGAGGAGAGGGTGGTCCTTTAAGGTCCACAGCCACCTCAGTCTGGCAGGGCTCCCAGTGTGAGTTTCTTAGCCTAGCTCCAAACTGGGGCCCCTTCAGTCACAGAAGGCCGGGATTTGGGGGTTCAAGTCATAGCAGGTATCCACCTACCTGCTAGACTTTGGCCCTCCAGAGGAAGGGGCTGGAAGGGCCAAACGTTTGTTGCTAAGGGTGACCCTCAGCCTTCTCACACCCTCCATCTCCCTGCAGCCGCCTGGAGCTGAACGGTATCAAATCCATCCCTCCAGGAGCCTTCTCTCCCTACAGAAAGCTGCGCAGGATGTGAGTGCCAGCCTTTCCCAGCAGTCTTCAGCTGTCAGGAGCAAGCGTCTGGGCCAGTCTTGTCTCACAGCTTAGGGGAAGACCTTGACTCAGCCCCTGCCTGGCCTTCCTGCATCAGGGATATGGGGTCTGGGGTATGGGGTGGCAGGGTGGCTGTGAGGCCCAGAAGGGGAAACTGAGTCCATGCCTGGCCCATGCCTGAAGGTGCTTGTCACCTTGTCACGCCAGCCGGGGAGACATCAGGGCAGTGAAAAAGGTCATAGCGCCCAGGCAAACACCCACAGGCTGTTCTGCCTGGGCGGCCAGCTGGCCTTTCTGTTTTCAAAGAACCCCTGTGTCCCTTGTGGTTGGGAGGTCGAAGAGAGCAGGCCGGCAGCCTCAGGAAGTAACCACCTTCTTCCTCCTCCCCTCGCAGAGACCTGAGCAACAACCAGATTGCTGAGATAGCGCCCGATGCCTTCCAGGGCCTCCGCTCCTTGAATTCGCTGTGAGTAGAGCACGGAGGTCTGGTGGGCTCTGCAGTCGGCCAGCCTCCCTCTGGCTCAGGGCTCTTAGGCTCCGGGCAGCAGTGACACATGACAGCATGGCCTAGCAACCCGGCAAGCAGGCTGGAATGGACACCTCACTGCCAGGGAAGAAAGGAGGCTCGCTGCTTCTACGTGTGCCTTCTTTTGGAATGGAGTCTGAGATGATAGATGCGGCCAGCTGTGAACAGTGCTCACAAAGTTGTGCAGGGTACAATCCCACACAACTGAACGAGACAGCCTGAGCTGTCAGTGTCACAGACTGAAATGATCAGACCTTGGGTGGCCTGGCCTCTAGGGTTTCTTGTTTTTATTTTTATTTTCTGTGAGATATGAATATAGTTACCTCACTTTGGACCAAGGCAGTTTAGAAGAGACAAAAGGTGATAATAGCCCATTTCAACTGATTCCTGTCACTCCTGGGGTCAAGGCTGCTCTTCTGCTCTCTAGGAAATTGCATGCTGGGATCAAACACTGTGTCCACCGTAGCCAACCCTGGCTCTGTCTTTCAGCCCAGTTTCTTCCTGTATTCCATCTTCACCCTGCAGATCCTGGCATCGCTCAGACAGACATCTGACCAAGTCTCGAGTCTGGTTGTCTTTCTGCAGGCTGCCATCTAGTTCCCTCCCCTCCTCAAGTCCCCCTCGTCCCACACTGGCCTTACCGCAGGGCCTTTACCCCTGCCATGCCCTCCTCTGAGAATGATCTCCAAACCACATCTGAGGAGACAACTCTGACTGATTACAACACTGGGGGCAAAATGCAGGCTCCTCCATCCTCTAGTCTGCCTGAGTACACTCCTGTCTGCATGCTTTTTTTTTTTTTTTTAACTCTGTGCCCTCCTCCTCTCTCATTATACATAAGATTCATTCATGCTCAGTGTGGAGAACTTTGCAAATATCAAAGTATAAAAATACACCACTTGCAATCCCACCACCTATTGCACGTGCCGTCTGCTGTTCTATTTTTTCCCCGTGTCTCTCTGAAAATATGTTCATCCTTCCTGCTTGGGGTCTGTCTCTCCTTTGGTTCTGAGACTGAATTACTTTTTCGAGAGGGCCCTTGAAAGGGCAGTTCTGCAGACATTTTGGGCTTCATTGGGGGTTAGGAAGGCAGAGGGGTGAGCTCAGTAACAAAATTATGTTCCAGCCACAGAAATCTGGCCCTAGAGGGGAGGGTACCTTCCTGCCTCCTGAAGACCGGCCTCTGGAGGACTCATTTCTGCCACCTGCTGACAAGCTACTATAGTAACCATATTGATGGATGGAGAGTCGGCCTGCGAACTGCCTGTGGGGCTGCAGAGCTCTGCTGGTGCTGAGCAAAGCTGTCCTCTGACCTTCCTCTCTGCTGCCTTTTCTCTAGAGTCCTCTATGGCAACAAGATCACAGACCTGCCCCGAGGCGTGTTTGGGGGCCTGTACACTCTCCAGCTGCTGTAAGAAATGCTCCTAGGGTGTCCTTGGGCCTACATCCCTCTGCCTTCCCAGAGACACAAAACCCCAGCGCTCTGCCATAGGTTGCAGATGATATTCCTAGCTTTGGGGTCTGTTACTATGGCCTGATAGTAGTCAAGGCTGTCAGGAGGGGGACTGAGGTGGGAAGTTAATTGCATTTCCAGGGAACAGTCCAAGAGAATTTTCCTCTGGATCTTCATTATTCTAAGTCTCCTCAATCACAAATAAAGTTCTAGTCAGGCAGCCTTGTAGAATCTTTAACACAGGTATGGCTTTTCGGGGAACTTCAGTTAATAGTACATTTAGGTACAAAACTCACCCGAGACAGGAACATGAAGACATCTGTCCCAGTAATGCTATGTGGCCAGATGTGAAAGTAGAGGTGGGCTCAGTGCTGTTTGCTGGATATCATGATCCAGAGGCTTATAGGATGTGATCTGTGTCCCTGGGCTTTTGGGGACAGGGCTATCTCTTGCACTGGTCTCCAGGTCAGCTCTGCCTCCTGGAGTCAAGAGAATTCAGGCCAGGAATCTAGACCTAGGCTATACCAAAAAATCAAAAAATCAAAACTCCCCCTGTGTGTATATGGGGACCCTGTAGGATCCTGGGAAGGAGGAACCCTACCCCCACCCCTGGAGAAAGCAGTATGGGGTGGCCTGAGGTCACCAGTGTCCAGGGCCAGGATGGTACAGGATGTGTGAGGGGTCCAGCCTTGTCACTCTCTGACCTCCCAGCATGGCTCTGCCTACAGGCTTCTGAATGCCAACAAAATCAACTGCATCCGGCCCGATGCCTTCCAGGACCTACAGAACCTCTCTCTGCTCTCCCTGTATGACAACAAGATCCAGAGTCTCGCCAAGGGCACCTTCACCTCCCTGCGGGCCATCCAGACACTGTGAGTGGTCTTCCTCTTCCTATCTCCCTCTGGCAGGTGGGCCTAGTGTGGTTACAATGTTGGGGTCAAAGTAGGTGCCTCACCTGGCCTACAGTGCAACTGAGGTGTCCTCCCACTAAGGAAGGACATCTAAGATCCTGGTCACACTACAGTGAAGACTCTTATTGGCTGCTGACCCTGGGACAAGTTAATTAGCTTCTCTGGGCCTTCCCTTTATCTAGCCATAAAACAAGGGCATCTTCATACAGTTATTATGAGATTAACAGATGCTTACATAATGATAAGCCCACGGAAATGCTGGCTAAATGCCAGCTGGAGTTTATTAATGGCAACAACAGCAGCATTGTGGAGTCTAAGCTGTGTTTTCACATTAACAGGTCTGTGTTCTCAGCGATGCAAAGCATTCAATCAGCAACACGTTCTTCTCTTCTTGATAGTTCATTAAGTAATAGTACATCTGGAGGATGGTGATACTGAGTCTGATGAGAAACAGAGAGCAGAGAGCACTGAATATAGTCATTAGTGGTACTCCTTCACTGTGGAGAGCTGTAGTCCTTCACTGTGGAGAGCTGTGCTCCTTCCCTGTGGAGAGCTGTGCTCCCTCCCTGTGAAGAGCTGTAGTCCTTCACTGTGCAGAGCTGTGCTCCCTCCCTGTGGGAGTCCTTCACTGTGGAGAGCTGTGCTCCCTGGCTGTGGAGACTGGTGCTCTCTCCCTGTGGAGAGCTGTAATCCTTCACTGTGAAGAGCTGTGCTCCCTCCCTGTGGAGACTGGTGCTCCCTCCCTGTGGAGAGCTGTAGTCCCTCCCTGTGGAGAGTTACAAGCATAGCAGAAGTGGTACAATGAAGCCTCAAGTGTCTCATGACCAGCTTTAACTTTGGCTTAGTCTTGCTTGTCTTTGCCTGCCTTTTCCACACCACCCAAACTGGAAGCAAATGCCAGCCATTGTCTGTTCTTTGTCCCTGGCCTTTGAAGCTCTGGAAAACAAAGATTTAAACAATGTAGCCACAAGGCCTGGTGATATAGTTCAGGGATGGAGTGCTTGACTTGTATGCATGGGCCCTGGGTTCTACCCTCACAACCACAAAACGAATAAAACCCGCAAGACTGTTAATGTATCTAAAAGCTGAATAACCAATTCTTTGATATCATCAAACATCTACATCAGTGTTTGAACTTCTGCCTAGCTCGAGAGTGTGTTAGACACTTTTCTATTCTCTGTTGGAATGAGGATTTGATGCGGACTATGTAATAGGATTGATTTATTCATTCTTTGTCTCTAGATGTGTGTCAGTTTCTCTTCTCCTTGGTGTGGCAGAATGCCCCACAGCAGCTGCTGTAGAGGACAGACTTATCTTGGCTCACTGTTTCAGAGGATTCAGTTTGTGCTCACTTGGTTCTTGGGCAGATGGGAGCATATGGCAAAGGAGCTTCTTCAGGTTGGAGAAAGAGAGAGGACAGAATGGGGGAGGAAGAGGAGGAGGAGGAAGAGGGGAAGGGAAGAGGAAGGGGAGGCTAGAAAGAGCAGAGAGAGCACCCTAGGAAGCTGCTGAAATGGTTCAGCAGGTAAAAGCGCTTGTCACCAAAACTGATGTCTTGAGTTCAGTCCCTGAACGCACACAGTAGAGAGAAAGAGCTGACTCCTACAAGCTGTCTTTTGACCTCCCGAACATGCCACGACACGTTTGTGTTCCTCCAAATAAATAAGTTAGTTTTAAAATAGGAGACTCTCCCCTTTGACTTTCTCCCAGCTGGCATTACCTCCTGAAGTTTTTGCCCCTCCCCAAACAGTGGAGACCAAGACCTCAGCACACAAGCCTGGGGACACTTCCCATGGAAACTATAGCAGGGGGTCCTCCCTTGCCTTCATTCCCTGTCATTCGCCCAGCGGTGACGCTCCAGCATTTGCTCTGTCACAGTGGAAAATGGCATCTCTGTGGGGGCCATGTCACCCATTCCCCTGGCCTCTGTATGTTCTTCTAGACTGAATATTGAATCTAGGAGCTTGGCCAGGTTCTGGAGTGGTTGACTGACTGCTTCTGAAGCCCAAGATATCTGTCTGGTAACCCTTTAAAATTCTTTCTTTATTTATTATGAAGCACCATTGACTTTTGTGGTGGTTAACTTTGTTGTCAACCCAACTGCATTAGAATCACCATGGAAACATACTGCTGGATATGTCTGTAAAGGTGTTCCCAGAAAGGCTCAGCTGAGATGAGAAGCCCCACCCTGACTGTAGCTGACACCCACCTCTCTTTGCTTCCTGACTCTGGGTGACGCTGACTTTCTCTTGACCCTTCCATTGCCATCCGGGTCCCACGAGTGTGGACGTTATCCTTTCTTAAACCGATTCGGGGAGAAAACAAGACCAGCCTTCCTTCCTAGGGTTGCTTTGGTCTGGTGCTTTGTCACGCTAAATGCAGACAGCCTCGGTGCCCCGTTCGTGAATCAGGACCTGAAGTGGCAATGCTGGGAGCCCAGTCTTCTGCCTTCACCGCTGCTGTGGTGGGTCCTTAGCCATGGCTGGAGTATTCCTCACACAGAGCTATTCACCTGCTGGCTGCTTAAACTCCAGCCCTCTGGCCCCTCCCTCCTGCTCACTGGGGTCTGTCTGGGTGTGCTGGCATGGGCCAGGTAGCCTGTGCCTGACGGGTACCGACTGACTGTTGATAGCGTCCCATGGCCTCTGTGGTCAGAGCGGTCCCTGGTGATGCTGCTCAGCGATAGGCAACATCTGTGTGAGTCTGAACAGGTTGACTTCTAGGTATGACACCCATTCCATGGGACCTCTGCACAGCAGCCGATGTCAGCCACGAGGACAAACTCATTAAACCCATACATGCACCTGCAGCCTGACTCCTGCTAATTAATTTACTCACAGGCAGTGAGAGAAATAAGCTGTCCGTGGGGAGTGTCACCAAGTGTGTGGAATTAGAAGTGACGGGGAGCGATGGGTAAGGAGGCTGTTTTCAGTAACTGGCAGAGTCTCTAGCCGAAGCAACGCTAAGGAGGTCCAATGACTTGGGCTGGTACAGAGAAAGCCTTGGGGTGGGGATTGGGATAGAGGGACTCATGCTCTTCGCATGCATTAACCTGCTCAGTAACAGTGACCCTGTGGAAGCAAGGCTTGTTGTACTTTTATTCATAAGGAAATTGCAAGGTCGAACAGTAGCAGGTCCCATCATTTAAAAGCGGTCCTCAACCGTACTTCCATAGAACAGACTCTTGTAAGGCCGTAAAGCAAAGCTAGACTTCCATAAGCACCTGCTCATATTAACAGCAGAATCATGAACTAGGACAAGAACCAAAGACATGCAAACCCCGAGCTACAGTTCAGCTCCTCTTCCTATAGAGTGGGCCGGTCCAGCACCTTGGCTGAGTGCAGAGGCAAATTTGCCATCCTGTGGGCTGCTGCATTCACCCACAGCACCAAGGCTTATGAGCTGCAGAGCTGCAGAGCTGCAGAGCTGCAGTGCAGCAATCCCCACCCCCATGTACCCATTACTGTCAAATAAAACACTGCACACCTATTGTCCCAGCTGACCATGAGGCTGATCACTGGAGACCAAGAGGTCAAACTCAGTGTGAGCAACAAATGGAGGCTGACTCAAAATTCAAACTAACGAACCAGTTAGCTTCACTGAGGCGTAACGTACACACATAAAGTTTACTATTCTAAGTGAGTGACTCAGTGACTCAGGAGACCCACAAAGCTGGTCCCAATCCAGCCTCGGAAGGTTTCATTGCCTGATTACCTGCGCCCATTTCCAGCCCAGCCTCAGACAGCCAATAGGCTGTGTTCCATCTGGGGACTGCCTTTTTCTGACCATTTCAAGCAGAGTCACACGGACAGGCCACCTTCGGGAACTGACTTCTTTCTTGGGGGCTTTTGCATCCTGTTGTGAATTCATCCTTGATCTGACTCAGGAGAAAATAGAGACAGAGGCATGTCTCTTGTTGTTGACAAATATTGCTCCAGGGTATCAGGCCATGTGTTGCTCACCCTGCCTGGTTGAAGTACATCTGGGTCATTTCTAGTTGCAGTTGTAGTGATCACTGCTGCCGCCATGCTGGCTTACAGCTCGTTGAAGAGCGGTGTTTTTGTTTCCCCCGGAGTCAGCGGGTCCCGGAGTGAGTTTACTGTCAGTCACGAAGCTGCCAAGGGCCTCACAGTGGCCACAGCATGGCATGCTCCCTCCACCACTGTGTCATGAGGTGCCACTGTCCTTACAACCTCACCGGCACTCTGCACTGGTTTTCTTTTGAAACTGTCTGGTTGTAACCACGAGGTGTATATGAAGTGGTGTCCTACTGTGACTTTAAAACCAGCAGCATTTCCTAAATAATGAATATTTTCAACTAGAGTGCCTGTCCCCAGAGACTTCTCCCTGCCATTCCTTACACATGAAGAGACTTAGATCTGTCTGTCTTTCCACTGTCAGAGTGTCTGCTGCCATTAGCTTGTAGCCACAGGGGCACATGTGCTTAGGTGTTCTTTTAATACTGGAGAATGTCTCTTTGTCCTCTCTGGCTGCCTGTCCCTGGAACTTGTTAAAACATCTGATCTGAGGCTGTTCCTTGGTAGTAGAGTTCTTACCTGGATTAGCACAAAGCCCTGAACTCATTCTGTACACACACACACACACACACACACACTTTTGTCAAAACTCTTGAGTTTGTGCAGAAACCACCTGTCCCTGTGGTTAGTGCAAGTTTTCTAGGTTGTTTTACACCGAAATAACTCATTCTCAAAAATCTCACATTCTGCTGCACCGCTGAGCCTGTCGCATTGATTGGAAAGAGCTGTCTGCCCAGCACAGGCAGTGTACTAGGGCACAGACCGGGGTGAGGGGAAGCTGGGAAGCTCCTTAGTGGCCTCCATCCTGCCTCAAATGGCTCAGTCTACCTGGCAAGTCAGCATCATATTCTCTTGCCCACTGAGTGGGATGTGGAGGTAGGGGAGGGACCTGGAGGTGAGAAGAGCCGAGACTCAAACAGGCAAGTAGAGAGAAAGCTGGCTCAATGCAGACCCTGTTCAGCCTCCCAAGCCAGGAGGTGATGGATGGGAGAAAGGGTGTCTGAAGTCTAGACTGAGCTGGACACAGACCCTGGGCCAGGGGTCACACTTAAGCTTTGAGAGCTCTGCAGTTCCTAGCAAGAGGCTGTACTGGGGCTGATGAGCATTACAGCTTGTTGATGGCTCTCAGCTGGAGAAGTGGTCCTGCCTTGGCCCCATGGCCCTTCGGCCCTAGTTCCATATTGTGTGTGTAAGTTCTGGCTCAAAAGTGGCAGCTGGGACAGGGGCAGGGCTACTCTTCCCCAGCTGTCTTCATTCTGGCAGCCCTCTAGGACATGCCTAGTGGGATGGAGCCCAGACATAGGTCTGTCGGCTTGCTGATGGCATGTTTCAGAAGTAGTAGGTGTGGGCTGGAGAGATGACTCTGTGCTTAAAGTGACTATTGCTCTCACAGAGGACTGGAGTTCTGTTTCCATCACCCCACACTGGGCAGCTTACCAGCACCTTCTGCCCTCCTCTGGCACCTGTACTCATATGTGCGTGCCTACAGATATACACACGCATACAATTAAAAATGAAATAAATCCTTTAAGAAAAGAACTGGTGGCTGACTTGCTGGGGTGGTAGGAATGGTAGCAGCTACCTCTGTTCGCAGTTCCCACATTTCACTCCTCACCTGTTGGTGACACAGGCAGCTGGCAGGGAACTGAATGAGCAGCTATCTGTTTCCTGCTCTTTCCTGGGGCGAGAGACTGCCAGAAACCTGTCACAGAAAAGCACTGCTGTGGCATGGGCTGGGAATGGTGGTTTCAGGTGCAGCGCGTTGCAGATAGACCCAGCCTAGCTCCCCCGTTGCTCTTCAGGGTGGTGCCTGTAGGTATGGGCTGTAGGAGAGAAAGAAACTTACACCATGGCTGCCATGGTGAGGCCCAGAAGCCGTGTCTGGCTTGGCAGTCTGTCACCTCAGCTTCATTAGGAAGAAGCAGGTTGGTCTGTTAATCTGTCAGTCTCTCCATCCCTTCTCTCCTCACTCACACTCATGAGATACTCAAGTCAGAGGAGAGAAAGGATTGGCAGCCGGGACAGAGACGCTTGGAGCGATGTGAGGTTGGCTCTGCAGGAAGCTGCAGGTCTTCACTAACGAATCCTTCCCCTGTGAGGGGCCAGACAAAGACAGGGGGGTGCACACTGATAACGTTCATGGCTAGCTCTGGCCTTTTTGAGGCCTTGTGGCACTGGCTCAGCCCCGGATGTCCAGGTATAGGTCAGCAACCATGGTCTCTGACAGCCCATTTGTTTCCTTTGGACAGGCATCTGGCCCAGAACCCATTCATCTGTGACTGCAACCTCAAGTGGCTGGCAGACTTCTTACGTACCAACCCCATTGAGACAAGTGGGGCCCGCTGTGCCAGCCCCCGGCGTCTTGCCAATAAGCGTATTGGACAGATTAAAAGCAAGAAGTTCCGGTGCTCGGGTAAGGCCCACCTGTGTGTCTCCAGTGGGCTCAGGGACCAGGATTGTGTCCTTGTGGTCTTCACAAAGATGCCCTCAGACACTTTGGAGCCTGCTGGGGGTGAGCCCTGCATTCAACTTAGAAGGGATGGTTCCTCTGTCTTGCCTCTCACTTTACTGCAGCCTGGAGGAGGCAGGCCCGCTGAAGCTGTAGAGGGAGAGCTAGCCACCCATCCCTCTGCTCCCAGGCCAGCGCTTCTGTGTGTTCAAGGCCAAGGAAGCATCTCAGTGAGGGTGAAGGCCCTCCTGGGACTAAGATGGAGACGGTCTTCAGCAGGTGAAGCCCACCTGGTGTCAGGCCGTGGTCAGTTTGAGTCAGGTTCTGAGCCTGGGTTTTGGTCCAGGAGCCCAGTGTCACCTCTGACTTAACGCTTTCCATGAGGTCAGCACAGTGCCTGCCTGTGTTGTGCAGGTGAGAGCTTCAGCAGGCCTGGGGATGCGGGTACTCTGGAGTAAGGCCTTCTACACATGAAGATGGACAGGGGAGAGGCAGTTCCCCGCAGGGTCCCAGCGGCGTCCCTGCGGTGCCTTCCACACTGTGGGTGTGCCGCTCACCTGGCAGTTTGCTTCCATATCCTGATGCGTTTGTTTGTTTGTTTGTTTGTGTTTCCCCAGCCAAAGAACAGTACTTCATCCCAGGTAGGAGAGTTGGGGCATGAGGCCATCTCAGGGCAGGGGCAGGCAGGCATGGTGACAGAAGAGGGAAGCCTGGGGTCGGGGGCGTTGGGAGGCCTTGGCTGCTCAGAGCCTACTCAAGCCCTCAGCCCTGCCACCCTCTCACTACAGGGACAGAGGATTACCACCTGAACAGCGAGTGCACCAGTGACGTGGCGTGTCCCCACAAGTGCCGTTGCGAGGCCGGTGTGGTGGAGTGTTCCAGCCTGAAGCTCTCCAAGATCCCTGAGCGCATCCCCCAGTCCACGGCTGAATTGTGAGCCCCTGAGCTGCCCACTGTCCCCCTGGCACCTGCTAACTTCCCTGGGTCTCTTCAGGGTTTCTTTTCCCAGCCAGCTCTGTGTGGGGGATCATGGGAGAGGCTGGCTGGAGCATGCCAGAGGGCAGTTTTGGCAAGATACAGCCCTCACCCACAACCCCTGCTCCTGCTTCCCTGCCTCCTTTGGAGGAGTCTTTGGCATCCAGGACAGGTCACCAGTATGAACCATGAGTGGCTTTCCTTAGGGACAGTTCTTTAGGGAGACAGGAGTCTATTATCTCAAGTGGGGGCTTAAGTCATTCCTTAACTACTGTTTTTCTTTATTTAAAAGTAGAAATTTGTGTGCCTGTGTCTGTATATGCAAAATTCCACACATATTTGTCTTCTGTGTATGCAAATTTTCATTATTTCCTTTTTACACTTATTCATGTGTGTGTGTGTGTGTGTGTGTGTGTGTGTGTGTATTTTCAGGTCATGGTGCATGTCTGATCAGAAGCTAGCTTTTGGGAGTCAGTTCTCTCTCCTTCTACCTTGTAGAAGAGTATAGAATTCAAGTAGTCAGGAATTCAGGTTTGGTGGCAGGCATCTTTACCTGCTAAAATATCTTGCTGTCCCTTCATTACATTTTTTTTAAGATCTAATTTATTTTACATATGATGCTCTATTTGCATGTATACCTGCCTGCCAGATGAGGGCAGGTATACATGGTTTCTGGGAATTGAACTCAGGACCTCTGGAAGAGCAGACAGTGCTCTTAACCTCTGAGCCATCTCTCCAGCCCCTCATTACATTTTTTTTAATGTTAAAAAATATACTCCAGCCACACATACCCCTTTTGCCCAGCGCCAGCCAGCTCCAGCTTGTCTTTGAAATGGGCTCATTGGCCTTCTGTTTACACCCCATAGTCTCAATGTGAAGAGGATGTTTAGGTTGATTGTATATGTGTGCATTTGTTCCATCCCTTGCCTTTCACAGACGACTGAACAACAATGAGATTTCTATCCTAGAGGCCACTGGGTTGTTTAAGAAACTCTCGCACCTGAAGAAAATGTGAGTTTCCCATTGGTGGAGAGGTGCCCATCAAGATGCTGGCACGGGATGGAAAAGAAAAGGCTGGGTGTGGGGCGCTCGCTGGGGGTGGGGCGGGTTTCCCAGGTGTGGAGGTGGTGGACACAGGGAGGGAGAGACTCCTGGGTGCAGAGGACTCACATCCTTCCCTGCCTCCTTTCCCAGAAACCTGAGCAACAACAAGGTGTCGGAAATCGAAGACGGGACGTTTGAGGGTGCCGCCTCTGTCAGCGAGCTGCACCTGACTGCCAACCAGCTGGAGTCCATCAGGAGCGGCATGTTCCGTGGTCTGGATGGCTTGCGGACCCTGTGAGTGGGTGGGGCTGGGGGCACAGGGACAGGCCACAGTACGGGCCTATTCACTAAAGAGAAATGGCCTCCCCCCAATCTTCACTGGCAGGAAGGTGGGACCCCTGCGGAGCCTGTCTGGTAGGACAGACAGCTCATGTTGGTAACTGGTGAGGCCCGTCCTCTTGACCTTGGGATGTGGCCTGGCCCCTGGTGAAGGGGTGAAGAGATCAAGGCATTGGTCAAGGCTGTTGGGATACAGATGGCATGTGCTTAAGAGTGACCAGAACAACCAGAGGAGGGGTGGCTGGCTGTGAGGGGATGCTGCTAAGGCGGCTTGGTATGTGTAGATGTCAAAGCAGAGACGTCCACTATACCTAGAACAATCCTGGACTCTGTGGCTTGGGGCCGGACACAGCCCTCTGGGCCTTGGGAGGCCCCTGCAGGGAGGTCCCTTTGCCCAGGCAGCACTGGTTCTTTAGTGTCCTGCACAGAGGGCTACATTCCTGTAGGCTCCCACGGATGTTCCGGCTACCCTGTCCAGTGCAGCGCCACCTGTGGGACACCCTTCACGCCTACTCGGTCTAGTATGAATGGCTGCTGATGGGCAGCAGCTGTCCTGGAAGCTCAACCCTCCGAGCTACTTCCCAGGTTTCAAGTCCCAGACACACAGCAGCGGCATAGCTTTGTCACCTGCTGTTTGCGATGTGTAAATGAGTATGGGATGCCTGTGGAGTTCTGTGAAAGGGGGTCCAGTCAGGTTCAGTCTTTCCTGTGAGCAGGGTGTGGCCATATTTCCAGACTGCTCCTGTTTAGCTGGTCCCCTCCCTCTTACATCTGACCTATTCCCCTTGGGTCCTGGGGGAGATCTAACCAGTCGCTTGTGTTCTTCCTGGGGCAGGCTCAGAGAGAAGGAGAGGGACCTGGGAGGGTCAGTGTGGGGACGGAGGCAGCAAAAACCCAGGAGGGACTGCGCAGTGTCTAGAACCTCAGTCTACCAGCAAGTGACCAGCGTCATTGCTGGTGTTGACAGGGGCCCTTCTCAGGCTCTATGTGGATACATCTTTACACTTACAGACACGATACACACAGGCACATATATGTGTATACACACAGGTCGCTATAGATAGACCCGTATAACCATCACCACAGTCTTTGTCATACACATATCCAGTTTCTCTGAAAAACTGTTACTGTCCTTTCATTATCATTATTATTATTAGCATAAAAGGGACATCTAATCAGCTGTGTGTGTGTGGCACATGCCTTTAATTCCAGGAGGCAGAGACAGGTAGATCTCTGTGAGTTTGAGGCCAGCCTGATCTACAGAGTTCCAGGACAGCTAAGACTACACAGAGAAACCCTGACTCAAAAACAAAACGAAACACGTTTAATCGGGGGACAGGAGAAATAGCTCAGTGGTTAAAAGTGCTTATTGCTCCTGCAGACGACCAGGGTCTGGTCACCAGCGTCCACATGATAGCTCACACCCATCTATAACTCTAATTCTGGCCTCCGTGGGCGGTTACACACATGTGGTGCAAATAAATTTGTGCAGGCAAAAACATAATTAAAAAAAAAAACATTTTCATTAGATACAGACTCCTTGGTGAAATTTTGAGTACACGATACGGTATGGTTTGCTGAAGTCACTGCCGCACTGGAATTTTCAGGCACTCTCTTCCTGCTCTGGCCTAAGCTGGCATTATGATGATTGTGTTTTGATTTCTTCTCCAATTTGACAAAAACTGGGTGTCACTTAGGTGTCCTTGGTTGCTGGCTAACCAGTCTGACAAGCTTCATGCATGTTCACATTCCATGTTTTTGTCTCTTGGAATCGCCTGCCCTGTGCTGGCTTGGTTTCCGCTTTCCGTTTTGGTTGGGGGGTGGGAATTAAAGGGGTCTTGGAGGGTGGGTGAGTAAGGGGGCAGGGCATTGCTGCAGATAGGAGTGAGGAAGAAAGACACCCTAGCAGGGCCAGATGTGGCAGGGTCCTAGCAGGTGCCAGTCTGAGAAAATGGCCAGGGGCTTGGGGACACGCTTTCACAGCTGTTTGGGAGCCATTAGTGGTTTTTAGGTTGGACCGTGGCTTCCAAACTGTTGAGGTAGACTGCAGCGGGTCATGGGGAGGGGGGAGCGGTTCCGCCTCCTCTCTCATCACCCCTCCTCCCCAGCATGCTGAGGAACAACCGCATCAGCTGCATCCACAATGACAGCTTCACGGGGCTGCGCAACGTGCGGCTCCTGTCACTTTACGACAACCACATCACCACCATCTCCCCTGGGGCCTTCGACACCCTCCAGGCCCTGTCCACCCTGTAAGTCTCAGCCTTCGGGGAAGGACAGGCAGGCTGGTGGCTCGGGTGGGGCCGGGGGCGGGAAGCCTTGTTCCACCACGGCAGGGGGCGGGGCGCGGGGGCGGGCCAGTCGCTTCCTGGGTCTGACTTTTGAAGAGCGCCTTCAGGGGAGGCTCGGGTCCTTCTGGATCCTCCCGCCCCTAGTTCAGCCTCTGTCCTCGAAGTTGCTCACTTAGGAGATAAAAGCTGTCTGTGCGCGGGCATCAGGCGGCCGTGTGGCCAGGACAGGACCTGCTGCGTTCACCCAGGCTGAAAAAAGTGCCTCCCTGACCACATTCCCTGACCCTTCCAGAAACCTGCTCGCCAACCCCTTCAACTGCAACTGCCAGCTAGCCTGGCTGGGCGACTGGCTTCGGAAGAGGAAAATTGTGACAGGAAACCCACGCTGTCAGAACCCAGACTTCCTGCGGCAGATTCCCCTGCAGGATGTGGCCTTTCCTGACTTCAGGTGTGAGGAAGGTAACTTGGGGCCATGTGGCAGGGAGAGGGTGGCCAGAGGGACTGGGCAGGCAGCACCCTACTGGGCCCGGAGGAGGGAAGAGGAGACACTCTTGCCTGGAGCTGCCTCTTTGTAGTCAGATGTGTATGTATGTATGTATGTATGTATGTATGTATGAATGAATGAATGTATATGTATGTCTCTATATATGACTACATATATATGTATGTATATGTGTATATGCACATATACATATGTGTGTGTGTAAAACATGGATAGAGGGAAGATATAAACATGGACAGAGAGAAAAATATAAAAACTTCTCAGTTCTTTTTCCTTATGGGAATGTGTTTAACCATTCCAGCTCCAGGCTCCTGAGGCCACCATGTCTTTTGCACACAGAAGGAATCCCCTGAGCCCCACTGCCCACATGTGGAAGGCTTGGTCATTCTGTGCTCTAGTGTCCTGTTCCTCTCCGCTCTGAGTCACTGTTTTCCACAGCCATCGTGCCCTTCTAGCAGGATGTAGCTTTTCTTCAGTTCTTTCCAGGCGCCACACACCGAGGCTCCCATCAGAAGCAGATGTTTCCTGGGTGATCTAGCAAGTAGTACCCTCAGCTGCCCCTGTTCTTAAGTGTCTCTCAGCACATCCTGCCGCCACAGGAGCCTTTCTCAGGCGGATGTTAGCTCTCAACCCCCTCTGCTGCTGGACACAGACACTTGTCCCTGGTCTTCTGCTATACCACAGCATACCCCATACCCCTGCGCTGAAAGCACCCTAGCCAGGTCATGTGGAGATGATGGGAGATGGGGAGGGGACAACTTTCACACCAAGAAAGACAACTTTTTTTTTTTTCTTTTCTTGATTTTTCAAGTTTCTCTGTGTAGCTCTGGCTGTCCTGCACTTGCTTGGTAGACCAGGCTGGCCTCGGACTCAGAGAGATCTGCCTGCCTCTGTCTCCTGAATGCTGGGATTAAGGTGTGCACCAGCATGCCAGACCTTCTAAGAATATTTTTTTTCTGCTTTGAAAATAAACAAACAAAAAACTCAAGCCAAGCATGGGACCACATAGGTCCCACACATCATGTGCACGCATTCACGTGATAGTCTCTTTTTCTCATAAAGAGAATACACCATTGTTTCTTTAGAATAAGAAAATACAATCCAGGGGCTAGAAAAGTCACCCATGTACCTCCTCCCCACCCAGACCCCAGCGCTGGGCCCCCTCTGTGGACATTCTGCAGTGCAGTTTTCCAGCTCCCTACCGTGTGCCTGCATGTGGGGACACACTCAGGTTCCCTGCAAAGCCCTTTTGTCACAAACCATCCCTGTCTAGAGGACACCACTGAGCCAGCCCTTGTGGCTTGGCATTTAGCAAACTTTCCAGTGATGATTTTATATTGTGCTGTCAGGAACCCCAACATAGGTAACTCCTTCTCAAACAAATATGATGCTCCCTTTAGAACAACTTCCTAGGAGGGAAAAGGTGTAAACATTTTTTTTTTTTTTGAGCTGTTGCTGTGATGAGACAGTGGGCCCAGGGGCCAGGAGAACGGCTTCCAGAGGCTGTCTGCCTGCAGCCTTGTCCAGTGCTGCCGTCAAGGCCAGGGGACTTTGCATAGTTACTTAAGCACCCTGGGTTTAGTTCCGTCCTCTCTAGAAGGGGTCCATTGTAGCACGTCTTCTTAGGGGCGTTTTGAGGATTCAGTGAGCTCGTCTTTATGACAACAGTGTCTGAACTCGGTCAGCTGCTGTAACTGAGTCTCTGTCGGCAGAGCATGTATAAGTGCACAAACTGTTTCTTCACGTTCTCAACAGCTCTCACCACTGACTGCGCTGCATCCCACCACAAGAAAGGTAGACACGCAGAGGGTTCTTTACTGAAGAAACAAATGATGAACGAAGGGGTCAGTGCTCTGCGTCAGCCAGGCCTAGGTTTCAGCCCTCGTCAGCTTGAGGACGAGTCACTCACCCTGTCCAGATCTCAGTGAAATAGAAAACCATTCTCTTCTTCATCCATCCATGCCTGAGATGGGTTGCATGGTGGTCCTGGACTTACTGGTGCATCCTTTACAGTCTAGCCAAGGGGAGCAACTTAACACAGTTCTAGGCAGTATCGGGCGCTGAAGAAGTAGCAGCGGGTCCTCCTCTGTTGGGGGCCACTTTGGGTCTGAGGCAGGAGAGGTTATCTCAGGTCTGTTTTAATCTGGAAACTGTTCCAGAAGTCTTTGTTCCTGTTGGTGTTAGCTAATGACATGAAGGTAAAAAGAGGCTTGGCCCAGGGTGGCCGAGGCAGTGTCAGAGAAGAGCTGCTGCTCTGACCGGGTCCCAGAGACTTGCCCAGTGAAACCAGGCCCCTGACTGACCAGGCTGTCACACCTTCCTCCCTAGGCCAGGAGGAAGCAGGCTGCCTGCCCCGCCCCCAGTGCCCCCAGGAGTGCGCCTGCCTAGACACGGTGGTCCGGTGCAGCAACAAACACCTCCAGGCCCTGCCCAAGGGCATCCCCAAGAATGTCACAGAACTGTGAGTAGCCCCAGCTTGCAATCTGTTGGCCTGAGAGACTGGACTGGTAGGGGGGGTTAACCCAGAAAGGTCTCCAGGAAGGTTCTCAACCTTCCTAACGCTGCGACCCTTTAATACAGTTCCTCATGTTGTGGTGACCCCCAACCATTGCATTAATTTTGTTGCTACCTCTTAATAGTAATTTTTGCCACTATTATGAATTATAATGTAAATATATGATATGCAGATATCTGTTTGACAAACAACCCCTGTTTTAACAACTGCAAGGGGTCACGACCCACAGGTTGAGAACCACTGCCCTAGTCCCTTCTCTATAGCTACCTTAGGACAAAGTCACAGTAATGGCTCTGCGTTTAAAATAAAACAGAGCATTGCTTTTCCCACTTCACAGTGTTTGTCGGGAAGACATTGCTAATGTCTATAGATGCAATGTTCTTCAACTGGATCAGCTCTGGTCCCCACAACAAATCTGTTTTTTGGTTGGAAATGCTCCCCCCTCTTTTTACCACCACAAGCAGCACCTACATGTACACCCCTTTAGTGAAACTTCTACTCCAGAAGAGCTGCCTAGAACTCTTGCTGCCTTTGGCTAGAGGCCTCTCAGGAGAAGCTGTGTCCTTTCTCTTTCCCTTGGTTCCAGCTGGGTGCGAAGGTGTCCTGACCCTCATCTCCCCGCACCAACATCCAGCATCGTGCGGCACAGGCTCAGAGCTCCCGGTGTCTGAGCTCCTGGATGCCTGTGGATGAAAATGCACGTGACAGGGTGTCATGCTGTTGTGTTCTCTTCCTCAGCTATTTGGACGGAAACCAGTTCACCTTGGTGCCAGGACAGCTGTCTACCTTCAAGTATCTGCAGCTTGTGTGAGTATCCGGGTTTCTTGAGGATCCCAGGCCTGCCTCAGAGGCCAGGAGGACCATTGGTACCTAATCACCGTAGCTCCACCGGTCCAGGAGTCTCCCATTTGTGAGCAGATGCTGTTAATGAATCCTGCCTGCTCTCCTATTCCTTCCTCAAGGAAGGCCTGTGCTGGGGAGCTGTTTTGCCATCTGGTGGCCAAACCTAGACATTGCATGGGTTGGGCCTGTTGCTCTGCCCACATCATCTCCCCAAATCTCCCTGTAGGCTGGTAATTATTGTTGCTCTGTGTGATCCCTGAAAGGCGCCAGGGATGATGCAGAGCCTCTCAGCATCATCCTCCAGACAAAAAAATGAAACAAGGTAGCTTATGAGTCCACATGCTATTTTTTTCTTAGAGAAAAAGCAGCTGCTATGACTGCCTTCCACCCTTTCTGCCCCGTGGGAGTACTCAGAATAAGCCCCTGGATAATAAGTTGACTACTCTTAGTGTCCCAGTGTAACTAGCACCTCATTCAACTGTTTTCGTCTGTGTCTTAGTCAGAGTCTATTAAAAAAAAAAAGCCCAGAAAACATTCCATCACAGTGTGCCTGGCCGCAGAGCTCTGGCCGCGTGAAGCCAGTGGGTCGATGTCAATCGAGAACTGCGTTTAATGAGTTTGGCCTCAGTGTCAACTGAGAACTGTTATTCGTGGGTTTGTTCCTAGACAGGGAGCAAGGGTAGAGGTCAGCATACTGCTCCCTGCCCTGCACCGAGAAAGCTTTGCGTGGAAACAGTGTGGCTGGTGACATTCAGTTCAATGGCCACTTTGCACAGTACTGGCTTACAGCGTTGTGAGGCTGCAATTCGTCTGTCTTTGCTGGATGACCAGTGTGCTTTACGTGGATTGAGCGTAAAACGGTGACTGGTGTCAGAGAAGGAGAGCCCATTCTACAAGCTCCCCAGCCTTCCTGTGGCCTAATCTTTGCCAGTGGCGATAAATTCAGAGTGGAAGCTGATGAGAGGAGGGTCTCAGGAAGCCATGTGTGGATGCTGGCTTAAGTTAGGAAGGAACTTAGGAAGGGGGCCAGATGTGAAGAGTGATCAGGGGCCGTGCCATGATACCAGGGGTGGATACCAGGCTGTGCCATGATACCCAGTCCTGGGTTGCCAGGCTGAGGAGGTACCAGGAAGAACTCCACTGAGGGTTCGAGGGCACCGGGTGGAATTCAATTCCAAAGAGCAGGCTGGCCCTGGGGTGTCAGCTCAAGACAGTGAGGAGAGCCTGAGACAGCACTGAGGACACTTAGAATGGACTGAGGAGTGCAAAGCTGGGACCTTCCCATCCTGAGGCCCGTGTCTGCCAGGGACTAGAAGATGGGGCCCCAGGGGAGGAGGCCGCAGACACAGCCGGGGCAGGGGAGGAGGGAAGCGTGGTGGAAGGGTGTGTAAGCATTGTCTTCTGCACCCATTGTGGCCAGTGACTGTGGGAGAAGCTGCAGCGACAGGGGAGGGGTGGGCCCAGCCCCCCTCTGGCCAGCTGGCCGGCCCTGTGTGAGTTAATCACTCAGAGACTGGAGACTCCAGCTCTTTATGTGTAAAATGGGATTTCACCCTATCTCATAGGTTGGGGGCCTAGTGTTCTAGCTGTGAGGGATGCTTCCCAGAGAAGCTATGGCAGGTAGAGTTGGTCAGTGCCCTCAGAGGGAGCATTTCTATTGCAGAAAGGGGCAGGAGCCAGCTGTACCTGCAGAGGGGAGGTGGGAGGCAGAGAAAGGACAGAGGGAGTCAGTTGCAAACCCAGTGTGCCCCCCCATCCTAACCAGACAGGGGGGCCTTGCCCTCCCCGCTGAGGGAGGGCCAAGAGCAAATGGGGGAGGGGAAGGCTCTGGAAGCTATCCAGGGGCAAGACCTTCTTTCTTTCCAAACACTGATGCTCTTGCTTTTTCCAGGGACCTGAGCAACAACAAGATCAGTTCCTTAAGCAATTCTTCCTTCACCAACATGAGCCAGCTGACCACACTGTGAGTCCCAGCAGGACCAGGCGGGCACATGGGCTATGGCGTCAGCCTGTGCTGGCCAGGGTCATTTGCAGATTCCCTTTCCTACCAGAGAGGGGCCTGAGAGCCTACAGATGAGATAACACCCCACTCATCACTTCTCAGCTTTTTGGCCATGATCTAATGTAAAAAGGAAACAACTTTTACTGTGAAATACAACACATATACGGGAAAGTGCAAAATATCCAAGTGTTCTGTTTACCTCATCATCGTAAAACTAGCACTATCGTGTCCTAGTTTTCTTTCTAGGTGTGACAAAACACCATGACCAAAAGCAACTTGGGGAGGAAGGGGTTTATTTCATCTTACACTTCCAAGTAACAGCCCATCACTGAGGCAAGCCAGAGCAGGAACTCCAGGTAGGGACTTGGAGGCAGGCTCTGAAGCAGAGGCCGTGGGGAAAGGCTGGCTTGCTCCTCCAGTTGGAGTTCAGCTGCCCCTTACTTATGTCTCCCAGAACTATTCACCTAGGAGTGGCGTTACCCACAGTCAGCTGGGTTCATCCACATTAATCATTCATCAAGAAAACGCTCCATAGACTAACCTACATGCCAATCTGATGGAGACATTTTCTCCACTGAGGTTCCTTCTCCCACTACCCCAGCTGTGTCAAGTTGACACAAAATTAACCAGCACACACATACCTCAGCCAAAAATGAAATGTTGTTAGCAACGCAAAGTCCCCTAGTCCCTTTCTGGTCCTTTCCCTCCATCCCAAGGCAGGGCCTGCCATCATTGACAGTAGTTGACTCTGATTTTTCTCTGTAGCATTTTCATCTGCACATAAATTTCTAAATAGCATTCTTTAATTTTGCTTAGTTTAAACCCAAAAGGATTGAATCATTTGGGAGACACTTTTATGTTTCCCTGGTTTTGCTTAGCATTACTATATTCCTGTGTGGGCAACCAGCATTCTAGCTATGTTCACGGCTGGGTATTGTTCCCTGTAAGCCTGCACTGCACTTTCTTTATCCAGTCCACTGTTTATAGGTGTGAGGGTTGTGTTCAGCTTGGACTGTTGTAAGAACAGACCCTCTGGAAAGCTGTGCCTGAAAACATCTTGTGCTGGCTATTATACTATCCCAAGCTGTTGGCCACAGGCATTAATCAGCATCCCTTATCTTTGCCTGGTGGGTATGTGTACATCTCATTCTTTCCCCTTCTCCTTGAGTTACACATCAGATGTTAAGAGATGAGGCCTTCCCCATGTGTGACTTAGATCAAGCCTGAGGGCCAGTAAAGGTCTGACTTTGCCAGCCTTAAAGACCAGAGTATGAGCAGAGGCCAGGAAGGACCTGTCTGCGCCTCCCTCTTGCATCTATAGGTCAGCTCATCCCCATTTCATGATTGACTGGCAGCTTGCCCATTCTTCCCTGAAAAGACTTAACTGTGAACAGGCTTCTATGAGCCTGGTTGTCAAGGCCACCTCCTCCTAGAGTGGTGTTTCAAGCCCTAGGTCCTGAGCTCCAGGACCATTTGGCAATGTCTGAAGATGTGTAGTTGTTACACCTTGGAGGGAGGATGTTGCTAGCTTGGGGTGGGCAGAGACTACAAGCCTCCCTCAACACCCAGGATAGCCCGATAGCCTAGAGCTGCCCAAAGCACTGAGCTTGGCAAACTCGGGACCAAATGATCTTGGTGTTCTTTTCTCTGCTATGGACAGTTCACTTCACTTGGACTAATTAGGTATAATTAGTATAATTAACATATTAATTAGGTATAATTAATACGCAACAAACATTCCACATTAAAGCATAGAAATGGATATCCAGTAGTGATGACGCACTTCTGTAATCCCAGCATTGAGGCAAGAAGATTGCCACAAGTTCGAGGCTAGCCAGGACTGCATAGCAAGACCCTGTCTCAAAAAGGGTATAGATTTTGGCCAATGTTTACATAATCAGAGCTCCAGGAAACCCTCACCACAACCTAAAGCTCTGAAGTCCCCTCCCTCTGGCCCTTAGCCAGCCCCAGGTAGGCTGCATGTTAAGATGCACTTTGTTTGGGAAATCGGTATAGTTGCTCTGAGATCCTTCCACAAGTTGGTGGTTCCTTCTCTTGTGCTGCCGATGGCATTCTATCCAGTATGAGTATCTGTCACAGAATCAGTGCCCTCACTAATCTGCCTGCCTGCCCTTGATGGGTTCATATATTTAGAATCCTTTGGGATAGTGAATTAGCATGTGAGATCTAGAAACACAGCCTTAACATAAATACTGTTAACTCAGTTAGTGGGGTGGGAGTGGCCTCAGAGCCTCAGCCTGGTCACCTATAGGATGGGGTGGGAATGGTCCTCCATCTCTGCCTCTATAGCTTCTTCCCCTCCCCCCTTTTTTTCCTGCAGGATCCTCAGCTACAATGCCCTCCAGTGCATCCCTCCTCTGGCCTTCCAGGGGCTCCGTTCCCTGCGCCTGCTGTAAGTCTCTTCCAACTCATTCATCTTAGGAGACCTACCCCATTACCCAAGAGCTTCTCTTAGTGAGCAGAAATATTCCCGGGTCTGGAGGGCTAGCAGAGGCAATGCTGCATTCAGTGATGGGAGCCCAGAATGCTCTCATCCAGATCCTTCACAGAAGCCAAGTTAAGAGTGGGAAATGATCCAAGAGAAGAGGCGACTATCACCCTTAAGTTGAATTTGTGTATACGTTTATGATAGCTGCCCAAGATAAAGAAGTTCTTTGTTTGCACAAGAGAATTCTGTTCAGATTTAAAATGTTTGTTTCCAGAGATCTGTGAACTTTTTCTACAAGTTTCTCACAGTGATATTTTGACCAAAACATTATGTTGTGTCTGTTTTGGTGGCTCCTGACCCCATCAGAACCAAGGTGACATTCCTCCAGTCCTAATTTATGTCTGGCTATGCTAATCTCCTTAGAAATAGCCTACTCTGCCTCTGTCTCCTGGCTAAGAGGGGGGACCTGTGTCTTATTTATGATGTAAATTCAGTGCTTGAGTTATTTCCATGGCAAAATCAGAGTCTTCCTAAAATACCAAAGTACCAAGGTACCTGAACGCTAAGGGCTCCTGTTTCCCTCCTGGAGCCAGCAGGTTAGGGCTGCTGGTCTGGGGACTGTCTCTCCACTAGCAGATACCCGTGGTGTCCCCTCAGCAAGGGCTAGGATGATCCTCCACCCGGCATCCCACCCTATCCCTGGACTGGCCTCTTCTCTCCTCAGGTCTTTGCATGGAAACGATGTCTCCACCCTCCAAGAGGGCATCTTTGCAGACGTGACATCTCTGTCTCATCTGTAAGTAATGCCAGCCCAGTTCTCTGAGCCTCACTGAATTTCAGCAGACCTGGGAGGATGAGGGAGACCCAGGCCCTCAAACCATCAGAATGTCTTGCTTTTGTCCTGATACTGAGCTTGTGAGCTTTCCCCAGGCACCTTCCTGTGAGGAAGAACAGGCCATTAGCAGGTGGTAGCAGGCACTTCCTGAGTACTGGACCTGTCACCTGCCAGCGTGACCACCCCACAATGATCCCACAACACAGGCGGTTTTTTCCTTGTTTTACACAAAAGGGTCGAGGGCTAGGGAGATGCCTGCCGCAAGCTGCCCAGCTGGTGAGGTGGTGGTTCCTGCCCCAGTGCCCAAGCTCTTAGACTATCCCCATATCCCAGCCCTTGCCTCACGCCATGGGGATGAGCACCAGAAAAGTATTTCCCAAAGAGGTAGAATGGCCTAGAAGTGCTTCCCAAGCGCTACAGCTGGCAGTGCCATAATGACTCTTTAAAAACAAAGGCTACGCTGGCTGGGGAGATGGCTCCGTAATGCGCTTCCCATGCAGTCACAGGGACCTCAGTTTGAGCCCCCAGAACCCACATGTGCTTGTAATCCTAGAGCTGGGAGGCAGAGACAGGCAGATCCCCGGGGCTCTCTGGCCAGCCTTGCGTACTTGGGGAATTCCAGGCCAGAGAGAGACCCTGTCTCAAAGGGAAAAGTGTATGGGACCTGAAAAATAACACACAGGAGTGTCTTCTGGCCTCCACATGCACACGCACATGCGCACGCACAGATGTGCACACAGATGCTCAAGGCACACATGAATGCACACACACAAATGAAAAGGGAATTAATGTCTCAGAGTACAGAGTTTCTCTTTGGAGTGATGCAAACAGTTTAGAAGTGGGTAATGAAGATGGCTGCCCAGAGCTAGGAATATAAGCAACATTTCGGGCTTGTACACTGATTATGGCAAAAATGACCAAGTGTTTATGTTCATGTATTGTATATAAAACAATTAAGAGGTAGATAAGCCCAGGGCTGAGGCAGGGTTGTCCTTACCCTGGAGGTTGGGGTGGTGCAGAAAAGACACCTTCCTGGCATTTCTTGGTACTCTTGGCTGTGGCATGCATACGGACTGTGGCCACATGGACTATGGCTGGATTGCTTTGGCTCTTTATCTCTGAGCCCAGGGCCTGAGTGAGCAGGCATACTTACATCAGAGAGCCTTGGTATCAGCAGTGTTTCTCTTGATGTTTGGTCAACCATCTTAGAGGTTCCTGGTTCTGAGAATCATATTTCCCATATTTTAATCTGTAGAGTCAGAGTGATCTTAAAACAGGTAATGCCTTCATATATGTCTATGTTTTAGGAAGCTTTTACTATATTAGATTTCCATGTGGCCTCTCCAACAGCTCTTAATTTTAGCTGTCTTTCCCTATATTCCCTCCCATTCCCTTTTGTGTCCCCGTCCCAACTTGATACTCCTGTTCCAGGGCCTCTCCTCTATCCATAACTCTCTATTCTATTTCCATTCCCTAGGGAGATCTATCTGTCCCCTCCTAGTCCCTTACACTATCTCTAACCAATGTGGTTCTATAGATTGCAGGTTGTTTATCATTGACTTAACAGCTAACAGCCGCATCTAAGAGAATGCATGCCATATTTGTCTTTCTGGGTCTGGGTTACCTCACTTAGGGTGATTTTTTTTTTTCATGGTTCATCCATTTACCTATGAATTTCATGATTTTATTTCATTCTTTTAAATAGCTGAGAAATATGTCATCGTGTAAATGGACCACATTTTCTGTATCCTTACCTCTGTTGAGGGGCATCTAGGTTGCTTCCAGATTCTGACTGTTACGAATAAAGTAGCAATGAACATAGTTGAGTAAGTTTCCTCTCGATAGGATGAATCATCCTTTGGGTATACTCCCAAGGTGGTTTAGCTGGATCTTGAGGTAGATCGAGTCCCGTCTTCTCGAGGAGCCTCCACATTGATATGCATAGTGGATGTATAGGTTTGCGCTCCCACCAGCAATGGAGGAGTGTTCCCCTTGCTCCGCACCCTCGCCAGCAGGAGCTGTCAGCTGTTTTGTTGACTTTAGCCATTCTGACAGGTGTAAGATGGAATCTCAAAGTAGTTTTGATTTGCATTTCCCTGATGGCAAAGGGTGTTTAGCATTTCTTTTAAGTGTTTCTCAGCCATTAGTGGTTTTTCTATTGAGAATTCTCTGTTTAGATCTGTACCCTATTTTTAATTGGGCTATTTGCTTTCTTGATATATGTAGGATTTTTTTTCTCTTTATATATTTTGGATATTAATCCTTTATCATATGTGTAGTTGGTGAAATTCTTTTCCCATTCTTTGAGCTGTTGCTTTGTCTGAATGACGATATCCTTTGCCTTACAGAAGCTTTTCAGTTTCATGAGGTCCCATTTATTAATTGTTGATATTAGTGCTTGTGCTAATGGTGTTCTGTTCAGGAAGTCTTTTCCTATCTAAATGAGTTCAAGGCTGTTTCCCACTTTCTCTTCCAGGTTCAGACAATACATGTTCTAAACAAACAAGACCAAAGCTGTAAAACCCATGTTGGATCCCATAGCCGACTTTGGGAAAACAGTGATATCAAATTTGAGGCCAGATCTATGCCATAAGAAATCAGATAAGATCATCCATCCGTTAGCCACCCATCCATCAATGTTACCATAGCAAAATGCCTGAGATGATCAACTTCAAAAGAAGAAACATTTATTTTTGCCTCACAGTTTCACAGACTTCAGTCCATAGTTAGTGATCTCTGTTGCTTTGGGGCCTGTGGTAAGGTTGCACACCAGGGTGAGAACATGTAGCTGAGAAAATTGTTGACCTCATGACTGTTGGGAAGAAAGGAAGAGGAGAGGCCAGGGGCAGATACTCCCCAATCATCTAATGCCTTCCACCAGGTCCCACTGCCTAACGGTCTATTAACTCTCAGCAGTGCCAAGGGCTGGAGTCTAAGAGCTTAACACGTGGGCTTTGGAGGATGTTCAAGATTCAAACTATAGAATCTCCTCCCATTTACCCATCAGCAGATCGCTACCAGCTCCGGTGTCTAACCTGTAGCCCAGTGCCAGAAGGTTGCATGCCCCTTTTAGAGCTCATGGCTACAGTTCCCAAATGTAGTCCTTCATTGTTTCATTGTTAGAACCCTGCATTTTGCTGCCTTTATTCTGCTATAGACCAGAAAGCTCTATTTCAATGTCCATTGAGGAGTAGGTGTGAAAACCCAGTAGAAATAATGAATTACATCATGCCATGCCCATGTGATAAAACAGTGAGTGGTTAATGACACATAGGGCACTGTAATTTATTATCTGATGAGAGGCAGAATAAGTAACGCGATACAATATAAACATAAGCGTTGGTGGGACCATGCATAGCAGTGTGCCCCTATACTCCCAGCACTGGGGAAGATGGCAAGTTCCAGGCCAGCCTGGGCTACCCAAGGGCCTTGCCTCAATGGAAGGAAGGAAGGAAAACAGACAGACTGGAAGGGAATATGAAGTTAATTCTATTTTAGGATGGGTGATACTTTTCTTCCGGCATTCCTTTGCGCTGAGGGCTTGTGCCCTTCTCATGTCTTTGGCAGGCCTCACTCAGTTAATGCTGACTGACCCAGCTCATGTTTTCGATGTTAGCTAGTGTCTGGTCCAGCTCTGCAGTTAGTGCTCCTAGCCACTTTTGCAGCCTCTGGGGCCAGAGAATGAAGATGGCACTACACACACATAAAGCCATGAGTGGCAGGGCGCTGGGGCTCGGATGGAGGGTCTTAGAGTTTGAGAGTTATTCTGGCTTCAGATAGTAGGAGAGGCTGATTCAGGCTAGGCTCCATTAATAGAAGCTGGTGCCACTTGGCGTGAGCAGACCAGACAGCTACTGTTTCATTGTGCCCAAGTTACACCAAAGACCAACAACATGGGGCTATTTATGATCTCGCCGGATGTCTTCCCAACCCACAGTCCTTTGGGACTGAAGACGGCCTGGCTCCTGGCCCCACCTGTTCTCCACTCCCCACTGAATTCTTGGTTGTCTTTACTTTTTAAAACTTTTCACTAACTAGTTAATATTTTGAGACCGGATCATATTTCATAGCCAAACAGACCTGAACTTCCTGGTCATCCTACATCAGCCCCCTGAATCTTTAAAAAAAAAAAAAGCTTTTGATTAAAATGTGTAAGTTGTGCTGGGCATGGTGGTACACACCTTTAAACCCAGTACTTGGTAGGAAGAGGCAGGTGGATCTCTGAGTTTGAGGCCAGCCTGGTCCACAGGGGGAGTTCCAGGACATTCCAGGACTACACAGAGAAACCCTATCTCAAATAACTAAAAAGAAAAACAGAAAAAAAAATGTGTAAGCTGTACTTTACATCAGCTTTCATTGGGCAGTATGATCCCCAGGAGAAAGAAAGCTGTAGGAACTGCCAAAGAGAGGGCAGTGGTCCTCAGCAGGGAAGACCCAGCCTTGGGAAAGCGGAAGCTTCAATGTTGAGTGAGGTACTGATGTATGCTCAGGACAGAAGCAAGTGACCACATGCCCATGTGGCTTTTAGGAGTCTTTCTTTGGCCGTGTGTTATTAAGGAACGAGCTGGGAAAGAACATTCACATCTGAGGTGCAGCTCTCCTGCTGTGTGGTGGACATCTGTGCCAGGATGGGTGTTTGTGAAGCTCTGAATCACGTCAAGGGCCCCCCACACGGGATTCATCAGGCGTTTTGTTTTCGTTTTTGTCTTCTATAACGACCCTGCTCGCAACTGGGCTATCCTCCTTGTGGTTCACTATAAATCCTATATTGAGTTTTTACATGCCATGATTATGCTCCATTGTACTTTCTGATCATTTGAAAAATAATATAGTAAATGTAAGTTATTTTAGATATGCCATAATATCTATCTTCCTGTAATCTTAAGAAGTCTGTTTTTGCACAGACTTGGGATTTGCCTCCAACCTTCCTCTGTGTCTGAGAGGCCCTGGTGCTGATGGGGGAAGAGGATGGTGTTTTGCTTGTCCCATTAGGCAGGATGAATGCTGTCAGCACACAAGGACAGAAAATTAAATACACATCAAGGTTGCACCTGCCCTCCTTCCTTTTGCTGCGTGATTCCCTCGGCACCCATTCTAGGTTATCCAGGCTCATCTCTCTTCCCGTCTTGATCGTGGGCTCTTTATTGAATCATAAAGTGAGCCCCAGAGATGATCGGGGAACTGCCCAAGGTCACCCAGGCGGGAAGCAGCTGTGGTAGGCTGAGTCCAAGTCTCGCTCAGCCTGTTTTATAAGAGCATACAGTGTCAGTTGTGCTATTTCGGGAGATTCCTGTCCAGAGCCGTAGCCGATTCTCTCAGGCTGTTCCCATCTTGGGGGTTACTTCCTCTGCAGTCCAGAACAGGTGGGAAGTGGCCAGTTATCCGGTGGCCTGTTGAACACGCCCCTTCTCGTTAACCTCACACAACCTTGAGGTTTTAAAATCGGTTGATACTGATGAGCTTCGGGCGCTGATCTGTTTGCTGAAAGGAAGAACTCTAGTCCCCTCTTCCCATGACATTCACATCCTGTCTTTATGCCTCTCACTTTGACTGGGGGGCGATTCTGAGCTTTCCACAGGATCAGTACAGGGCTGGGCAGCTGGCAGGACTCTGGTGGGTGCGGAAGTGAGGGTGCAGGCATGGCCCACAGAAGCTGATACAGCATGCCTCGGGCAGCCGTGTCGCTTGACATCCACTTCTGTCACCTGGATTCTCTTCATGGGCTTCTGGTCTAGAGGAAAGCTCACACCTCTCGAAGCCAGGTGTAAAAGGGTGTTCACAGCCGCCTCAACTGCCCGAGTGCCCGGCGACAGGGAAACTGCTCATTAAAACCACAGGGTAGCTATTCTACCCAGAGACGCTGCAGAGCACTTTGGCAAAAGTGAGGCAGATTCCTATATGCCGACCTGGAAGGTTTCCAAGGCATGCTGGCTGGCGACAAGAAGCAGGCTGCTTGGATGTGATGCAAAGTGGAGAGGAGTCGCGTGCATCCACGTGGGGAAGGACTAGAAGGCCACACTCAGGAGCTTGGTGACTGTGTGTGTATCAGCGTACCGTGAACCTGCCTGGAGTGGCAGTCTCCAGGCCCTGGTTCGTTTTCTGCAGCTGTGGACCGGACACACGAATGAGAGAAGAGTTTATTCCAACCCTGTTTCTGCGGAACGAAAGTCCAGGAGCACACGTGATGGCAGAAGCATACGGAGCAGTCACGTGACAGGGTGGCATCCACTCCTAACCAGAGCTGGCCCACTTCCGGGGGAATGAGCATGGCGCCCTCCCGGCTGTAATCTGTTTTAAAGGGCCACCTTTCACACTGACCTGATGAAACGTTTCAACGTGCATTTCGGAAGGGACATTCAGACTATGGCACCAGCCTTTCTTTGACAAACCACACCATCACACGTGTCTTTATATGCATCTGTAGATGTTTCTGTGGGAGAAACTTCCAGAAACTATTTCTGGGCCTAAACATCTATAACTAGAGTTATACCAGTTTGCACTCCCATCAGTAACACTAGACTATGCCCATGAAAAAAAATCTTAATCTCTTTAAACATCTTTAATCTCTGCACTCAGGAGACAGAAGCAGGCAGATTTTGATGAGCCCAAGGCCAGTCTATATAGTGAGTCCAGGCCATCCAAGGCTACATAGTGAGACCCTTTCTCTAAAAAAAAACAAAACAAAACAAAACAAAAACTGTGTGTGTGTGTGCATATGTGTGAGAGACTGTGTGTATGAGTGTGTACATCTGAGTATGTGTGATAGAGTGTGTGTTTCCATGATGCTTAGCACTCACAGTGAACTGCAGTGTTTAAAAGAGACTTGCAAATGAATGTATGCATGTTGTCTTTGTATAATTAAAAATGAAAACAAAAGCAAAGGTGGATGGGTTTCCTCTGGGTCTCGACCCCAGAGGCTGCTTTTTGCTGCTTTGTGACCCCATGGAAATTACTTATTCCTTGCAATGCTCAGTTCCACATGTTAAAATTTCAGGAAGCTGGTGTGTGGGGTTAATGAGAGCACTGGATGTGTGAAGGCAAGACTGGCAGTCATTTCTCTGCAGGGGTAAATGCTGGCTGGCCTCTCCCCCGTGCCTGTGGAGGCTCTTGAGTACAGAGCTTCTGCTCCTGGCAGCATGGGATCCAAACCCAAATTTTCCCCTTCCTTTGATCTAGGCAAGCTACTTAATCTTTCTAAGTCTATCTCTGTGTGTAGAAAATGGAGCTAGTGAGGGCACAGTGAGGACTAAGATGATGTGTATGAAGTGCTTAAAGTGGGGCTTGGGGGTGTCCTGGGACCCTGTGTGCTCAGTGCATCAAAGCTTCTGAAATCGGAATGCCCGCTTTTCTCTGCTGCCCGTCCCAGGGCCATTGGTGCCAACCCCCTGTACTGTGACTGCCACCTCCGATGGCTCTCCAGCTGGGTGAAGACTGGTTACAAGGAACCTGGCATTGCCCGCTGTGCTGGACCCCCAGAGATGGAGGGCAAACTGTTGCTCACCACACCTGCCAAGAAGTTTGAATGCCAAGGTGAGCCCAGGAGCATGCTAGAAGGGGTGGTGGGTACCAGATACCACAGTACTTGCCCAGCCGTGATAGGTTCTTCCAGATACTTCTGGGTCCCTGGGTCCCATTGCTGGGAGAGACAGGTGATAGAATTGAGGCTCTGATGCTTAGGATGGCTGCCTTCCAGTCTTAACATCCAAGAAGCAAAAAAAAGCCAGGCAGAAAAATCCCCGGCCAACAGGGCTTAGAGTCTTCGTGGTGGTTATGTAAGGAAAACCAAAATAGCAGTTTTGAAGCTCCCAGGCTCCTGGCAATACAGGCACCCAGACTTCCCTTAGATAGGCATTGTGCTGGACAATTAGCTGAAACCCTACTCTGTCCCTGGTGTGGCCGGAGGACAGCTGGGGCTTTCTTGGCATTTGCAGCAAACAGCACCAGGGTGTGACTGCTGGTCTGTGCTGAGGTTCCGCGCCTCCAGCACATACAGAGACTTGTTTAGGGACTGATTGGCTGATTAGTCAATCAAGCCCTCGAGGCCCTGCACAACCGTGTGGAGCAAAGACAGGTGGCTGAGTGGCTGCCTGGGCTCAGCTTTGTGTGCGGGGGGGGGGGGGGGGTAGCTAGAGGAGGACCCTGGGGACCCCAGGGCATGGTCCTTGCCCTCTGCAAGCTCAGAGGCCACCATAGGAAATGAAACTGACAGCTGTAGGTTAATGAGGAGGCCCAGGCCACCCTGCGTGCAGGAAGCTGTCACGGCAGTAAGAGTTCCAAGGGTCCCCTCTGCCTCGGCTACTAGGAGCGAGCCTATCTCTGCTAATATGTGCTTGGCATTTACTAGCTGCCACGGTGGCACGGAGTGGTTCTTTTTAATTGAAATATGACGACATCTGGAAAAGTACACAGACACAAGGGAAGAGCCTGGTGCCTGTTCACTAACTGAGCTCAGTTGGGTACCAGTACTGTGCCAAGAAACAGAACACATCTGTGTCCGGAAGGCCCTCCGTGGAAAGGTTTTTTGTTTGTTTTATTTTGGTTTTCCTGTGCAAGTTCATGCCTCTTCAGCAGAACTGACATGTCACCTCTTCCCAAAGGAGCCTTCAGGGGGAGGCCTGAGTAGCCAGGTTTCCCTATTCATTCTTACAAAACCTTGGTGTCCCTCACAGCTGGCACCCGGGTACCCTTGCCACCAGGCTCCTCTATTCTCTCCAGTGAATGAAGTCTGGAGAGGAGCCCATGTGGCCTATGAGGTAGCAGGGAAGGTTTTCCCTGCTTTAGACTTGGACTCAAGGCATGTGGACTCCCCCACCCCATCCCCATGAAGCCTCCTCGCAGATCCAAGTGAAGGGACATAGCTGCAGGCTTGTGTGATTGCCTCCGAGGGTGTGAGGGGCTGAGCCAGGAAAAGTCAGCCATCACAGCTTTGCCACTCTCTGGCTCTCAAGGTGACCCTAAACACTGGGTACCGTTTCCACCTACTGAGAACTGCACAGCCATTCATACAACTCTCACAGCTATGCGTTCCCACAGTCCTGCCAGCGGCCCTGTAGGAAAGTAGGTTCTGCAGCCGGAAAACTGGGCTGGGCTGGGCTGGGGGATGCAGCACAGCCTCACAAAGTTGAGGGGAGGCACGTCTCCCGGTAGGATGGTATTCCTCGCAGGACTGGACCTCTCGCTGTGAAGCCTCATGTATCCACACACACCCCTGCTCTGCTAATGCTCTCCCTGTTGCCGCAGGTCCCCCAAGCCTGGCAGTTCAGGCCAAGTGTGATCCCTGCTTGTCCAGCCCATGCCAGAATCAGGGCACCTGCCAAAATGACCCTCTTGAGGTATACAGGTGTGCCTGTCCCAGCGGCTACAAGGTGAGTGGAGGCTGCAGCTGGAGGAACAGGGTTCTAGCCGCTGCTAGGCAGGCCTGGCAAGCCTGGGTCTGTTGCTTGCTCACCTGGCTCAGAGGAAGTGTGGGAGTGAGCCAATCGCCAACGACATGACCCATGGCTGGGTGGACATACTGAGGGATGAGTGAATGAAAGAATGAGCACGCAGACAAGCAGAGGTGCTGAGGGTCGTTTCTTAGTTCACACTTAACCCCCTTAACTTTCACCGGCGTCCTCACTGCTGGCTTTTCCTCTAGGGCCGAGACTGTGAGGTGTCCCTGGACAGCTGTTCTAGCAACCCCTGTGGAAATGGGGGAACCTGCCATGCCCAAGAGGACAAGGATGCTGGCTTCACGTGAGTTCCCAGGAGCTTGAGTAGGGGCTGAGGACTGCCGATGGGTCCTGCATCCAAGCCTCAGTGTGCTGGAGATGAGGGTGGGTAGGGGAGAAAGACCCGTGCCTAAGCTCCCTCTCACCTGGCAGAGGTGGGAGCGGAGCACCTGGGGAACAGCAGGCACCAGACAGCACAGCCTCACAGGGGAGAGAGCCTGGGCTTGGGGCTGTGCTGCCTTCTGGTGCAGCTTAGGCAGCTTTAGCAAGGTGCCAGGAATGTCTTCCCACGCACTGGGAAACTTTGGCCAGGGGCATATGTCATGGTAGTGTCAGGAAATAGTTGGGGGTACTCTTTTAGATCCCCACTTACCCTCCTGTGCCCCCATTTCCAGCTGAACAAGTCTCTAGAGGATGTGCCAGGTACCTAAGGCAGGCCTTTGCTAGCCCTGTGGTACAGCTGAGGTGACCAAAGTTGGAGGCCCCTGGGGTCCTACCTTCTGGGGTCCTATTCATTCACCTCTCAGTGACTGGACACTGCAGGGGAAGGATCCCACCATGAATGGCGTTTCCCATGCTCTGCGCTTCCCATGGCTTGTATCTGAATCCCTCCAGGGCACATGTCATACCCACACACCCCTTCCCGCCTGCCTTCCCCAGGAAGCCTCAGCCCCCATCCCTGCCTCCCAGAGTGTTTCTGAGGTACACAGTACTTAGTCGCTGGAGATAAATTGCCTACTGAACAAATTGGCTCTTCAGAAAATGATGTTGAATCTATGGGCGGAAATGGCCAAACCTGCCTCTGCAGACCCAAATTACCAGATGTAAAAAATAAAGCGCTAAGTGCCTCTCCTCCAGCGTTGCCTTGGAAACACATGCTTACAATAGGCAGGCCCTCCTCAGGGGCAGGAGCAGCTCCAGCTAAGCTTCCTTCCCAGTCTGCTCCTCAGCTTCTGCACAGGGCTGGGATGCCCCTTCTGAGCAGAGGGGGCTGGTGGGGTGGTTAACACATCCAGCAGCCAAGCAGCCTGTAGCCTAGGCAGGAGGGGGGACCTCCTTTCCGCGGGCCTTGTGCCTTTTGATCTTACCAGTAGGGACTTTCTGCATACGAGTCTTGTCACCCTAGCTAAAATCCACACTCCAGAAGATGCACACATTTTCTTAGACCAACAGCTGCATTTTATCTCACTGTAAGTTTATTTTTTCACGCAAAGGAGACAGCATCATGGGCATCGTAAACATTATTGCCATTTTAAAGTAAAACAGCCATGTTGAGCATGCTTTCCTCATCGGCCATGGTTATCTGTTGAGCATAGCAATCGGGTCCCATTTTGTTATTTAGTCATTATTATTATTTTTTATTGTGTGGGTCTACTGTGTAGCCGAGGATGCCCTGGAATTCCCGGCTATCCCGCTTTGGCCTCCTGAGTACCTAGACCACAGCTTCTGATGCCACACTTCACTTCTTAAAGTGCCACCAGCAAGCTCCTCCACAGCAACGAAAACTTCACCTCTCCCTCTCTGGCTGGAGTTAGTGTTTCCATTGTGTTGCCCTCCTGGTCTCTATTGTGGTATGATTGTATGCCAGGAGCAACTGCCACCAATGAGGGCACAAGAGTGAAAGCTTAAAGCTCCTCCCCATTTCTTGTCACCATACGCTCCTAATTAGAAGTTTCTTTTGACTGGATTTGGAGGTACACATAGGTAAATTTTAGGACGCAGGAGCCTGAGACAGAAGAATTGTGAATTTGAAGCCAGCTTGAGCTACGCAGTGAGAGTTTATTTAAAAAAAAATGTTTTATTAAAATTACTTTGAAGCATGGGGAGATGGCTCAGTGGGTAAGGACACTGGCTGCTCTTTCAGAGGACCCAGGTTTGAGTCCCAACACTTACACAGCGGCTCACAACCATCTGTAACACCAGTCTCAGTGGACCTGATGCCCTCTTCTGGCCTCCAAGGGCACCAGGCACGAAGTGGCACACAGACACTCAGACAAAACACCAGTATACACAAAAGCAAACAAATAAAACTACAAAAAGATAGTTTGTTGTGTCTGGGTAATCATTAAGATGACTAATAACATGCAGAGCAGTGAACTGGTATAAAATTTGATGGTCATTATCTGTAATGTAGTGTGTTCTGAGGCTGGACTCCTTTACAGGTGCGTGTCTGTTTTCTTTGTCAGTTGGTCCATGCATCCGTAGATGGTCTGCGCATGACAGAAGAGAGCAGCTGCCTTGCTGTTTTGCTTACATAGATATATTATATACTTGCTGGGAACGTGTGTTCACATAAATCCACTGGCGGGATTAGAAGAGTCATTATAGACCTGCCACTCAGCTATTGGAAACCCAGTTTATACAGCAAAATCTCCACAGCGAGCAGGTGGCGACAGTATCTCACTTTGCTTAGATGGCAGTTCCACACGCCTCCCATCAGTGTCTCTTACTTGTCTCCCCCACCAGACGGCAAGCCAGAGGATCCCTTGAGGGCAGGGTTGGTCTTGCTACCCTCTAACCTGTTCACCCTCTGGCAAGGGCCTGCTCCAGAGCAGAAACGCCTGCCGTGTGGGTTAAGGATTCTGACCTGTGGCCGCAGGCTTTCCCAGTTCCTCCTCATTCTCTGTCCCCCTCCCCTGCCCCCGTCGCACTGCAGGTGCGCCTGTCCTTCTGGCTTTGAAGGGCCGACCTGCGGAGTGAACACAGACGACTGTGTGGAGCATACCTGTGTCAATGGGGGCGTCTGCGTGGACGGCGTGGGCAACTACACCTGCCGGTGCCCCCTGCAGTACACAGGTGAGCACTGCAGGGGCCCAGGCACACCCCACCCCCGCCCATCCTGTGGGCGCGCCACTGTCTGCACAGGCTCTGTGGAGCTTGGCAGCTCCTGCTTCTTCCTCCTTCTTCCCCTAGGAAGGGCCTGTGAGCAGCTGGTGGACTTCTGCTCCCCGGATCTGAACCCGTGTCAGCATGAGGCCCAGTGTGTGGGCACCCCGGATGGGCCCAGGTGAGTGCCACCCACTGCCAGGGACTCCAGCTAGGCTGGAGTCCTCTCTTCCTTCCTAATCCTCATCTGTTGGTGGGTGTGGTATTGGCATTCTGGGCTCCTGAGAGCCATCACAAGGGTGGTTATGGGCGCAGTTCTGTCCGTGCAGCCTTGGGATTGGGACTTGCTGCAGCCTGGTCCTGAGCAGATGCCAGACCACTTTTCTCACTATGACCTGGGTGCAGCAGTAAAGTCCTCTTGAGGTGCTGGTGGAGAGAAGTGAGAAGGTGGTTCTCTAGAAAGTACAGTTTTATTCCTTGAATGCTCCCCACACACACTTGGGAAGCCAGCAAAGAGTTGTCAGGGTAGGTAGGACTTCCTGTGGTCTACATCCGAGTGACCCAAGCCCAGGAATTGAGGTCTAAGGCCAGGGGTAGAGTCCTGAAGGTGCCTGCAGCGTAGCCGGAAGTGATAGGAGACTGTTGGGGCCCAGCTTATATGTGAGCACTAGACTGCAGCAAGACCTCCGTGAAAATGAGAGAGGCGATGTGCTTGCTCCTCAGTAAATCACAGGGAGAGGAGTGGGGTGGCAGGGCCAATGGGGGGTGGGTGGCATACTGGGTGGAAGAGTCCCTCCGGAGGTGAGGGAGCTTACAGGGCAAGAGGAAGCGGGGTTGCGCTGGCTGGTATAAAATTGCTGTCATCCCTCGCCCTCGGAAAACGGGCTCCATGTTCAGCCCTGGGCCCAGCTGCAGTCCACTCTGCTGTGTGATGCGCGTACTCTCAACTTCCTGTCCAGGTGGTGGGATGGGAGGGAGGGATTCCCAGCTGTGCCTCGAGTTGTGCTGGGCCCAGTGAGCATTTGGTGTGAGGATCTTGAATAAGAGTGTGAACACGTGTGTGGTGGCTTGGCTACTGTAGCATTCTCTCAGGTTGAAGCGCCAGAGCCATCTGTGGGTGGTGATCAATTGGGTGGGTCAAAATTAACACTCGAAGAGAAAATGGAGGCCGTCAGAGAGCAGTGTGCTGTTTCATGTGGTCGGGGTAAATTCTGTAACAGGAGACTGGTTCTGCACATGTGTTTCTATAGATTGGGCTGAAAGAGATTTTTTCCAGCCTGAAAAACACCGGCTTTGGAGTGAGAAACAACTCCAGGCAAGGACGCAGTCTGCTTCCGTGGGGTTTGCAGTTGGTAGGGGTTCAGATAGGGGCTGTCGCTTAGGGAGAGTTAGAATGTTTCCTGGAAGCTTCCTGGGAAAGAGGATGAACTGGACTGGCTGGACCACTCAGGGAGAGAGCAAAGAGAATTTGCTCCTCAGTAAATCACAGGGAGAGGAGTGGGGTGGCAGGGCCAATGGGGGGTGGGTGGCATACTGGGTGGGATGAAGGCAGGGCTGTGCCTGACAGGCTGGGTTTGGTGTGGAGAGAGAAGCAGATAGTCTGAGAGGCAGGTAGAGGGTGTGCTCTTTATAGTTAGACAGGCGGTTAGCCTGATTGCGTTTGGGGACACTCTTGAGGCTCAGTGAGAGCCTGGAAGTTGGGGCTGGCCTGGGTCAAGGTCCTCACCGAGGGTGGGTACAAGCCTTGCTGAAGGGTGGAAATCTGGGCCCAGCATAGTTGTACAGGCTGAACTCAGAGCAACAGGCAAACCTGTGGAATGTGGGGCTGTGTGCCGAGGGTGCATCCTAGGAGACCATGAAGCAGGGCAGGTCAAGAGCAGGCCAGAGGCTGACCTTGGATGTGTCGTTGGTAGTGACGGTGGGCATGTGAGACAAAATTCTTGCTGCCAGGCATTCGCTCTCCCAGCCCAGGTTCCCCACATCCAGGCTGCTCTCTTTGCTAGTGGAAGAGGCTCCGCAGAGGTTTCCGGCAAACACACAGGCGGCACAGCTGGCGGCTGAGCTCTAGGAGGAATGCCTGCTGACCCTCTCCCTGTCCACCATAGGTGTGAGTGTGTGCCAGGGTACACGGGTGCCAACTGCAGCGAAAATCAGGACGACTGCAAGGACCACCGCTGTCAGAACGGGGCCCAGTGTGTGGATGAGATCAACAGCTACTCGTGCCTTTGTGCCGAGGGCTACAGGTGAGCCCCTCTGGTCACACTGTGACTCCCCAGCCTCAGATGGGACTGGCGAGGGACCCCTAGGGCTTGGGTGAGTGATAGTCCCCATTCTGGGAGCTGAGCGCTAGAGTTTTAGGCGTGGCTCAACCAGGTCCAACTACATGAACGTGGGTGAGTCAAAACAACCACTTAGAACCTGGGCACAGGCTTCCAAACCTGGTGTTGGAGACCTGGGAAGTGAGGTGAGTGAGGAAGGAGTTTAGCAACGTGCTTCTGAATGCAAATATCCAGTTGTCCCAGCACTATTTGCTGAAATGGCTTTTTTTCTTCTTCTTTTTCGTCCCATTTAACTATCTTGGCTTTCTTGTGAGATCTCTGTAAGCATCAAGTCCTCCCGTACAGCCATCATTACACCAGCAGCATGCACTCTTTATTACTGTAGTCTCATGGTGAGGTTTAAAAATTGGAAAGTGTAAGTCGTTCTGTTTCGTTATTTTTCAGGGTTGTTTTGGCTGTTCTAGGTTCATTGAATTTATATGATTTTATGGTTAGCTAGTCAAGTTTTGAAAAAAAAAAAAAAGAAGTAATATGAGATTTTGGAAGGAGCACTATTGACTCTAGAGCAATTTAGGGAGCAGTGGCGTTTTAACGAAATAGTACCCAGTTTTGCCACCCTTGAGCATGAATTGCCTTTCTGTATATGTTAGACTCACTTTAGCGTCTTCCAACAACTGTTTTGTCATTTTAAAAAGTAAATGTTTCATGCTTATTTTAAAAACTTTTTTTTTTCATTATTATTTCATGTGTAGGGGGGTTTCGCCTGTAGGTATGTTTATGTACCGATGATGCTGGTGCTTTCAGAGGCCAGAAGAGGGTGTCCGACACCCTGAGACTGGAGTTGCAGACGCTTGTGAGCCTCCAGTGTGTGCTGAGAATCCAGCCTGGGTCCTCTGAGAGAGCCTCCGTGCTCCTAACCACTGAGTCATCTGTCTAGTTCCTCACACTTAATTTTGAAATTATTCCCCAATTTAATTATTTTAAATAATATTGCAAATGGAAATTATTATTATTATTTTGGGTTTTCAAGACAGGGTTTCTCTGTGTAGCCATGGCTGTCCTGGAACTCACTCTGTAGACCGCTCTGTAGATCTTCCTGCCTCTGCCTCCCACGTACTGGGGTTAGGGGTTAAAGGCGTGTGTCATTACTGCCCAGCTTAGAATTGACTTTTTTTTTTTTTAAATGTGTACAAGTGTTTGCCTGATGTATGTACCACATCAGATCCCCTGGAACTGAGTGTAGGTGGTTGTGAACCTCCATATGGATGCTGGGAATTGAGCCCAGGTCCTCTGCCAGAACAAGTGCTTTTTATTGCCGAGCCATCTCTCCGGCACCCTGGAATTGATTTCTTAATTTCATTTATTGTATGTGTATCCATTTTGTAAATCTTGCTGAATTTTTTATCAGTTCCATGAGCATTTTAATACATTCCATAGGGATTTTTTTTCTATAGGATAATATAATCTGCAAATAGATCATTTTTCTTCTTGTCAATCTAGAAGAATATTTTCACCCTTTCTATCCTAACTGCTCTGAAAGGACTCCCCAGGATACTGTCTTACGAAGCTTGTGAGAGCAGACATTTTTGGCTTGTTTCTAATTATACAGTCTCTACCCGTGGAGTGTGATGTTGGCTGTGTGTTTTCTGGCTGTTCTTCATTAACCTGATGGACCTCCTTCTAATTTGTTGAAGTTTGTTTACTCTTTAATTTGTTACTCTGATGTTCTTCATTGATTGATTTCAGATGTCAAACCAGCCTCGAGTTCCTGGGGCAAAACTTAAATGGCCATGCTTAACTGTGCTCTATTTGACTTGCTGATATACTGTTGAGGGCCTTTTGCCTATATTCCTAAAAGATTCTGACCTATATTTAATTTATTTATTTCAGTGTCTTTGTCTAGCGTAGGTGCCAGGATCTCAGAATCAGGAAGTGTTCCTTTACCGTCTCTTAGAAGAGTTTGTGAAACTCTTTGGGCCTGGGGAATTTCCTGGTCACTAATTCACTTTCCTTACTTGTTTGCTAGCATGGATGTTATATTCGTATGCTTGAGTCAGTGTGCGGAGTTTTTGTGTTTCTAAAAGTTTGTCAATGTTATCTATTAGTGGCACACAGCTCACCCTCCCCTGTCTCTTGTGCTGGGCATGGTTAGAGTCCAGGACTTTGTGTGTGCTAATCAAATTGCTCTACCTTCTGTCCACACCCCCAGCTAATTGTTTTTATTTCTGTAAGTTTTGTAGTGATGTGCCCTCTTCAGTTCTGTAATTCAGGATCTCACCACCACCTCTATTATCACAACTGTCTTGAGTCAGAGCTTTCTCTTCTGTATCGAAAAACCCGCCTTGCAGAGTTATTGGCAGGAGGGCGGGAGTGCTATCTCTAGCCTCAGTGTGCAAGCCAGTCATCGGAGATATTGTTAAAGAGTGGCTCAGGTGGGGTTTCTTTTTCTGGGAAGTGCCCAGGTGGGGCTGCCCCACCAGGGTGTCCTCCTGGATGCAGCTTCCTTAGAAAGGAACTTTCACAAAGGGCATCTTCCATCACTTTAAGGGTCCATTTCCCTGAGGTGGTTGGCAAATTTCTGACCAGCACTGTGGGAGAGATTTCCCTGTGCCTCATTTGGCCCTACCCTCTCTGACCTGTGTCTTTTCCTCTCAGTGGACAGCTCTGTGAGATCCCACCTGCCCCCAGGAGCCCCTGTGAGGGGACTGAGTGCCAGAATGGGGCCAACTGCATAGACCAGGGCAACCGGCCCGTATGCCAGTGCCTGCCAGGCTTCGGAGGCCCCGAATGTGAGAAATTGCTCAGTGTCAACTTTGTGGACCGGGACACTTACCTGCAGTTCACTGACTTGCAGAACTGGCCTCGGGCCAACATCACTCTTCAGGTGTGTGCCTGGGGACCTGATCACTTAAATGGAGTCAGGGAACAGGGCACTCCTGCTCACGTCAGAATTTCAGAGTATGCCCCAGCCCACAGGGACTGCAGGAACCTGTGCGCGTTGCTGTTATCTCGGGGTTAGGATGAGTCAGTGTGGGGACTTTGTAAAGGTTTCTGAGTCATCTCTGGGACAACTGTGGAGTGATGATATCTGGAAAACTAAGCTGCCAGGGGCCTTGCCCAGAGGCCTTATTCTTACCTTCTGCTCCACTCTGGCCTCCAATGCCACAGACAGACATGTTCTGAGTGGCCAGAGTGACTTCTTGGTTTGTCTTTAATCAACAGTTTTGGGGGTTCCTAAGTGCCCTTTTTGGACCACCAATTTCATTTCAGAACATCATCCTGTTGAGGGGAAAAAATCAGGTTCAACAAATGATGAAAAATCCGGCTGTTTTGATGAATATGTCCCAGAGGAAGAGAGGGAAGCAGATTTTATAGCCTTTCACCCAGAATGCGTATAAACGCTTGACCCCTCTCCCTCAGATGCCTTTCATGGGCGCACATGCACAATCCCCTCTCCTTTTCTGTGCTCCTTCTCTTCCTCAGTCTCTCACACAGGCTCAGTTCCCGTCTCTTACATCGTCCTCAGCAGGACAGCAGGCAGCCTATCCACCTAGCAAGGCAAAAACCTCAGCCCCAGCCCCAGCCCTAGCTCAGGATAGTCTAACCTCTTTAGGAAGTGCCATTGTCACACACTAAGAGACTCTTCTTTGCCTGCACACTAACTCAACGACCAGTGCTCTCAGGGGAAGCTCTCTGATTGGCCAGGTTTTTGTTGCACACCTATTCAAATCCTGACCAATGACTGGGTCCATGGAAACGAGCTAGTGTGATTTGCCTAGCCCACATAGCGGGTCTATGTGCCCACTCTATGGACCAGGGCATCAGGATATTTAATGGAAGAATGTGGGAGGTGGGGGCCTAAACAGAAGGAAGCTAGCGCGTCCTCCCAGGCAAAAATACGTACACCTCCAGCCAACCACAGACCCTGCTTCCCAAGCAGCTCTCTCCAGCCTTGACTGGCTCTAGCGGGGAGAGCCTTCCCACTCATGCCTTCTCTGCAGTTCCTCCCTTTGTAGCAACTCCCGACAGGGGGCTCCCACACCAGGCAGTTGGTTGCTGTGGTGGCTGTGTACTGCCTTTTTCCCGCTGGGCAATTGGTCTTTAACCTGTCCAGGCCCCAGGCAGCCTGTCTGCTCCGTTGCCCAGTGCTGGCCAGTCTGTAGTGAATGACAAGTGAACCTGGAACTGTCAGCCACCCTGAAGGAGGGGTGTCTGGGAGGCTGGTCAGACAGAGGAGAGGGGAGGGGATGGTTTTCATATGACGTCACCCTTCAACTGTGAGTCCCCTCTGTGCACTTACCTACCGGGTGCTGCTTCTGTGAGGGGTGGCATGGAAGAGAAAGTACCTTTGCCTCTCAGGTGTCCACAGCAGAGGACAATGGGATCCTCCTGTACAATGGGGATAACGACCACATCGCAGTTGAGCTGTACCAGGGCCATGTCCGTGTTAGCTATGACCCAGGCAGCTACCCCAGCTCTGCAATCTACAGGTAAGAATTCCTAGGCTGTCAGCCTTACTCAGGTGGGCATGCCAGGATGGGGCTCCTGAGCCAGCAGGTGGTTGTTGAAACTCCAGAAGCTTGTCAAGAAGGGGCCAAGAGGAAAGGCCAGTTGGTCTCCCAAGTCCAGCCCACTTGGAGTCGAGGCCCCTTGGCACCCATCTTTCTCCAACCCACCTCACCATGGAGGCAGCCTCTGGAGAAGAAGCTTTCTCCAAACGTCTGAGCCTCCCCGGGGCCTCAGGAAGCAGGAGTAGGAGGTATCAGACTAGAGCCCCCCTTCAGCCCTATGCTGTTCTCCCTGAGAGACTTGTCTCCTCAGGAAGCAGTGACTGGGTTGATGGCCTTTCTGAGATGAGCTTACTTAGCCAGGGTCTTTCTGAGGCCCACTCCCTGGGTGTGGATACCGCCTACCCCCATCTCCTTGCAGTGCTGAGACGATCAACGACGGGCAGTTCCACACTGTCGAGCTGATCACCTTTGACCAGATGGTTAACCTCTCCATTGATGGCGGCAGCCCCATGACCATGGACAACTTTGGCAAGCACTACACGCTCAACAGTGAGGCCCCTCTTTATGTGGGAGGTGAGGACCCGCCAGGCAGAACTACAGTTAACCCTTTCCAGGCCTCTCCAGCTAGCTGGGGTGACGGTGTCCCCAGACAGGGACCTCTTGTCCTTTGTGGTCTGAGGCTGGCCAGGATAGCTGGTGTTGGGGCCAGGGAGATGCCAAAGAATGAGGTAGTCCTACCGAGTGGTTAATTTGGTAAGCGTGCTGCCCTGGCTGGGGTCTAGCTGCATTCTGGCCAATCCAGACTAACCAAGAAGGATAGCCAAGGGGCCTAGGGAGGGATTGGTCTTTCCCAGTTGTCTTCCATACCATGGACCCTTATTGACTCTGGACCAGAAGGGATTTCTTATATCTGGAATCCATTTCTAGTCTTGGACCCTCAGAGGCCAGAAACACTGCAAGAGACTCAGCACAGAGTCCATACAGCACCCGAAGTGGACCTGCAGGTGCTGTAGGCCAGGACCCCTGTCCACCACCTGCAATCATCCCACGGTGCAATCCCAGCTCTGTTCCTACTAGTTGTGTCTTTTCTGATGAGCCACTGAGCATGTCCAATAGGGCAGGCAACCTCTGCCTCTGAGTTGCTGCATAAAAGCAGGTGGCAAAGTGCTCAACACGTGAGTATTTTGCTCTGGTTGGGGTCTCCAGAAACAAAAGCAGATGTCTCAGAGGGAAGGAAGAGTCCTGGGGGAGAGAGCCAGACATAGGGAACCGGGATCCCAGAGTCTTACTGCTCAACTGGCCATGCCTGGCCTTACTCTCAGCTCTGGTCTCAGAGGAAGCAGACTTCCCATGTCTTCCTGAAAAGGAGTCTGGTCCTCCAGGGTGGCAAAGGGCCTCTGCAGAGACAGGACAGAGCCCAAGGGAAAGAGCTGTCTAACAGACATGGCCTCACCCCAATTCAGCCTACTGTTTCTTCCCATCACCCCAGGAATGCCTGTAGATGTGCACTCGGCTGCCTTCCGCCTGTGGCAGATCCTCAATGGCACCAGCTTCCACGGTTGCATCCGGAACTTGTACATCAACAACGAACTGCAGGACTTCACCAAGACACAGATGAAGCCGGGCGTGGTGCCGGGCTGTGAGCCCTGCCTCAAGCTCTACTGCCTGCATGGCATTTGCCAGCCCAACGCCACCCCTGGGCCCGTGTGCCACTGCGAGGCTGGCTGGGGGGGCCTGCACTGTGACCAGCCAGTGGATGGCCCCTGCCATGGCCACAAGTAAGCCTGGGATGGACCAAGAGAGCCATCACCCTCGCCCATCTGTCCTTTTTTTCTGCAAGTCCCACTCATGGCAAGCACAGCCTCACCTGCTGTATTTTAAAAATCTTTAAATCAGGGCATGTGGCCCCCATCTCCCCCCATGACCCTTTAAATCTTGGGAATAGAATCAAGTGCGATGTCAGGAGGGGTGGGGCCAGCCTCTGGCTGGTCCATGGGCTAGCCCATCCTCACAGTTCTCTTCTCTGTCACTTCCAGGTGTGTCCATGGGAAATGTGTGCCCCTCGATGCTCTTGCCTACAGCTGCCAGTGCCAGGATGGGTACTCAGGGGCTCTGTGCAACCAGGTCGGGGCTGTGGCAGAGCCCTGTGGGGGTTTGCAGTGCCTGCATGGCCACTGCCAGGCCTCAGCCACCAAAGGGGCACACTGTGTGTGCAACCCAGGCTTTTCAGGCGAGCTGTGTGAGCAAGGTCAGGGGGCCCCCTCCTGACTGCCCTCTGCAGAGTCCCTCCCTGTCATTCTGCTGTAGCAGCTTCATGTTATCATCCTCGAACCCAGCAAGCCCTCTCATCCTCATCCTCCCCTCTCCTCTGGTACAATGGAATTTGGTGACCCTCCCTCTAGGTCCAGAGCTTCACCTTCTCCATCTTGTTGGCCCAGCCTATTGGGCAGTTCCCTTATCTAGGGCCCTGCCCTTCCTGGCTGAGGTCTCCTGATGAGGAGACCATCCAGGTACACTCAGTAACAGCTTCTGGCCAGATGTGAGCATCTTGGTCTATCAGCTTTGGACCTGGGTATAGCAGGATGTCTGAAGGTTGAAGGATTTCTTCCCAGGCTTCCCCTGGGCCCCTTTCACCAAGATGCTTAGGCTAGATTCCACGCTGCAGAGGCCGGGGAGAGGGAGGCTGGAGAAATCCGGCCTTGGATACCATAGGGTCGTCCTCTTCATTGGGGAATGCTTCCAGAATGCTATCGCCTCCAGGCCTCAGCTCTTCCACACCTGCCCAGTGGGAACCACCTCACTTGGCAGCCACTCTGGCCTGGAGGTCCTGGGCAGCCAGCTGCTTCCTCCTTCCCACAGCATTCTGTGGTCCCAGGAGGAAGCAGAGCACAGGTGCATGCAGAGATGGGGGAGGGCAGAGGGGTGAGAAAACCCTCCCAGAGTAGCACTCCTAGGACATTGCCCTGTCCCTCTCCTGCTTCCCACAATGTGCCCTGAGGCTGTGTCTTGGTGTCTGTCCCATCCAGAGTCCGAATGCCGGGGGGACCCAGTCCGGGACTTTCACCAGGTCCAGAGGGGTTATGCCATCTGCCAGACCACGCGCCCGCTGTCATGGGTGGAATGCCGGGGCACGTGCCCAGGCCAAGGCTGTTGCCAGGGCCTGCGCCTGAAGCGGAGGAAGCTCACTTTCGAGTGCAGCGATGGGACCTCATTTGCTGAGGAGGTGGAGAAGCCCGCCAGGTGTGGCTGTGCCCAGTGCGCGTAATGTGCAGGTGGCACACTAGCAGCTGGGCTGGGGCAAGCATCACCAGGATGGCGCCCGGGTCCTGGTGGGCGCAGGGACACTGAGCTGCCTTTCCAGTGGACTGCACTGCCAGGGCAGAGGAGCAAGGCCCCGGTCTGCCGCACCCTCTCCCAAAGTGCCTTGCACAGATAGGCGCTTAATAAATATTTGTTGAATGAATGTGTGTGTGAGGTCAGGCCACAAATGGTGGCAGAATGGTGGCACTCCTCTGCCTGCTACCTGGGACTGAAAAGGGGGTGCTAAACTCTGTCTCCACTAGCTTCTCCCTGAGCCTGCGACCTCGAAACAGTTAATGTCCCATAGCCTCTGGCTCCTCTTAGGACAACCACCTCCAGGGGTGTTGTGGCCAGGCTTCTGCAGCCATGCCTACTGGCACTTCCTGTCATGGGGAAGGGACTGACCTTCCTCCTTGAGTCCTATGCTCTATTGCTTCTACAGGTTGTGAAAGAGGCTAGGGTAGGGTGGGGTTTGCCCAGGGCCAGGCCTGTGAATCCTGAAGTATAGGACGAACATGTTAGCTTCTATGAGGGGGTCCTTGTGCTTGCGGTGGCAAGGCCCCACCAAAAAGGGAATGAGTTCTTGGCTCTAGCTGAATAGACATCATGGGCCACAGAAGCAGCATTGGGCCTAGGTTTCCTAGCCAAAAGCTGCTGGTGCCTCTAGCAGAGGAGGGATGAGGAGACCCCTCAGCTGGAGGCCTGGTTTGGAGCATTGTGCTGAGTATGCAGCGAGAGGAAGTCAGATGATACTAAAGGGGTCCTTGTGATGTGGCTCTGGGCAGACTTCTGCCCCTTCCAGGCTTTAGGTCTCAGCTGTGAAGCAGGGAGGTAGATGGGAACCATGTAGATGCTGCCACTCTGGTCTCAGGAGGGAGGCCGGAGAAGTTAGATCCATTTCCATTAACTTCATTAGCAAGTATTTGTGTGTCTAATCTGAAGTGGGTTCTGTGGGAGAGAACCCACGTGGCTCTCAGCCCTGATGTGAACTAATGCCTGAGGACCATGCGGTGCCCAGAATGGGCCAGGCCATAGCTACTCACTCTGGGGCTTTGCTGTGAAGGCTGTTTGAAGCCACTAGATACATGGCTGGCTGACAAGAGGGGCCTCTCTTCCTTGCAGAGTGGAATGTAGAAAGATGAGGTTTGAGCCTAACAGGGAGCTGCTGAAGGGAGAAAGGGTTATAAAGAGCCTCCCTGAGAGGCTGTAGCCCTGGTCTGTGTGTGGAGGTGGGCCAGAGGTGTGAGCATGCCTCTCTCTCGGCTCTGTATGTACAGAGGGTGGAATGGCCTCATGCCTGCGTCACTGCCTGTGTGGACACCGAGAGGAGCCTCTGGTGCTGGTGAGGGCACAAGTCTCCTGGATTTGAGAAGAGGGCACCTCCTATCACAATGGCTCTCAAGCCAACCAGGCTCTGGGGTGGCCAGAGAACCTTGCCTTGATCAACTGGCTAAGTGTCCTCATGACATGCCAGGACCCAGGACTCCATTTTCTTATGGCCCCGAGCAAGGGCTACAGTGCACAGATCCACAACTGGCTAAGAGGGCAGAGGCCCAGACCTCTAGGGGTTTTAACCAACTCTGCCTAGCATTTTTCTCTTTCTCCAATCTTCCAGGTCATTGTGGGGACCAGGCTGCACAGGGCAGAAAAGCTTAGGCGTGCATTTTGACATCCCTTTCCAGAAATAAAGGTGTTCTGGCCTCAGCCCCATGGAAGTCACTTTCCCAGCCACTGTCATTCCCTATTGGCCAAGAAAAGCCAATTCTTGGGCTTGAGAGGCATGGTGGCAGGTTTGCTCACAACGCTGAAGGTGGGACACCTGCAGTGAGGTGATGCTGCACTTCCCAGGGCCTTGGGATGGGAGGTGAGAGGCTGGTGCAATGGTTCCAGAGATCCTTGTGAACACTGAAGGCCCCTTCACACCCACAGCCCTCACACCACTGAATCTGAGGGTCAAGACTCATTGCAAAGGAGGGCAGCAAAGGCAAGAGACCCCTGAGCCCCAGGTTCAGCTTTACCTTTGAGTTAGTCTGTACCTTGCAAGCCAAGGGCCTGGGCTATCATTCCCATCACCTGTTCACACCTGGGTTTGCAAGGCCAGCTAAGAAGGCGGCTGTGAGACAAGCCCTTTGAGAAATCATCTCCACATTGTGTTCCCCTTTGGTAAAGATCTTCAGTTTGCTTTGTGGTCAACACTGGCTATTTCCATTAGATGTGCACAGCAGAGACCCAGTGGGGCAAGTCCTTAAGGAACTGATACTCGGGCAGCACTGCTCAGAGCCCTGTGGCGATGCTAAGAAATGGAAAAGGCCATCTTTGTTCCTTCTTTGCCTGCTGTTAGCCTAACCGTGAAAGTATGTCTTTATACAGAATACTTACAGATTCTAATATATATTTGTATTTCATTTTGTTATAGTATTTTTATATGTTAAAGTCAACCTCCAGTGTCTTATTTTGATTTCCAGATGCTATGTGGTTGTGACCTTTTGTTTGGGGTTTTGGTAGTCTTGTTTGGGTCAACTCTTAGAAACTGGCTTACAACAGCCCCTGAGGGAGCTGCCCTTCCTTTCCCCACAAGTATTGTTTTAGAATGTCAGTATTGTCTGCTGTCTTCCATGTGAACATGACATTGATTCACTGACTTTCTGACTGCCTGGTCTCTTTCTTCGCAAGATGAGCCTGCTGCTATCAGTGTGCACCCCAGGGCAGAAAGGCTCTGGACTACCACGCTGGCCACAGTCATCACAAGCAAGATGTCTGCTAACCCTGCTGTGGCAAGGCCTGTTCATCCTGAGGGAAGGGAGGTGTGACTACCTGGGGTGGCTGCTCATTCTTATCTCCTGCCAAGTGTTTACAGTGACACCAATGTTTTCAGAGTGTTTGCTTACAGAGTCACTTGCACATTTAACCAGAAATCTGAGGGTCTTGGGGCATCCAGGCAACAGAGAGCAGCATATGGTCTTAAATAATCCTAGTAGGACTCTGTGCCCAGGCCAGTGGAGCAAGGGGGAAATATACACCACACTAGAACACTGCACTTGGGAGACAAGGATCTGTGTCTGGGAGGCTGAGCACCCCCAGATAGGTCCTCACAGCTAAAATGACCTACTAAGTCCTCCACCAATGCCAGGGCCATGAACTGATCTCACACGAAGACTGTAGCAATGTTACAAAGCCCCTTTAAGAGCACATGACCTCTTGAAAGGGCACAGGGATGGTAACCTGGGTTAGGGATTTGGAGAAGGAGATAAGCCAAGTGAGCAGGGTTCCTTGGCCCATCGTTTTTATTGCCGCCTCTGATTAAAGCAGTGGTACCAACAGGAGCAAATGGAAACCCACACAGCTAGAGATGTGGCACCTGAAGAGCACTTCCCAGCCTATCTGTACCAGCTGGTTCTCACCATGAGCTAAATGTGTTAGCTTAAAACAAACTCCCCCCCCCCAAAAAAAAAAAAACCCTAGAAACCCTAAATTCTGAAATGAAAAACTTAGTTTTAAACTTTTTTTAAAAAATCCTGAGCTAAATAAACACATCTGTAGACTGGAAAATTACAACGTCAGTGTTAAAGCAACCCCAGGGGCTGCTAGACAGTCACCACATGTATTCACTGAACGTAGCTGAGATGGACTGACCCAGGGGTCTCATGCGTCAATCATGACCTTGAACAGACCCACTTCCAGTAGAGACAGAAGGATCCAACTCGGCAGATCACAGATGGAGCACTGGCAAATGCAAGGTTTGTTTTCTGCCACATTCCACCGGTCACAGGACTGGACAGTGCTGGCTGGGCTGTCCTATTTCGTCCCCTCAGGATGAACACTGGTACCATTCCTGTCCTGTCCAATGGACCCCATGATGCTTCCATTCTATTTTCTGTCCTCCAAAATGAGGGTATTACTCACAGCAGGACTGATGGTGTAGGGCAGTGTCCAGCCTCCAGGCTGACACCGTCCACATGTGCCAGTGGGCAGGAGGCTGTGCTATATTCTGTTCCCTCTCCAGTGATTACACAAACACACTTTAATATCAAAGAAGTTTAATACGCTGCAATAAAATAAGCGCCTTGAAAAAGCTCACAGAACAGATGTCAATGTTAGAGAAATCCCTCCCACACACCCTCTAGCTCCTATCCCCTTAAAACCAAGCCAGAAAATCCTGACCACCATGGGAATCCTTCCAAGCCTGGACTTCAGTGTGGGCCCCTTTATCAATAACAAGAACACAGTTATCTATGTGGTCCAACAGGAAAAGCGAAACACAGAAGCACAGAAAGTCTACAAGATTTCAATATTTAAGAGACTTGGTACATACTCAAAGTTAAAATAACTCCAACTTTTATAGCTATACATACTGTTTTAAAGCAACTTAATATATTTTTTAATTTCATATATACACTCTCAAAGGTTCTTCAGGTGAGGTATGTAAACATTGTCTAATGAAAAATTTTCAATGTTTCAAACCAACAAATTCACAGCATACATTGAATTTTCATCCATTAAAGACACAGTAATTTCCTATACTCACTAACAGTGGAGTCCAGGCCCAAGAGACACGTGCTGCCCCTACCAAGTGGCCATTTGCAGATTCTTCTCACTTCACTGGTTTGAAAGGCGCTGGGGGTAGGGAGGGCTGGACCCTCCGGAGGCCCCACCCTTGGGCATCTGGAGCACTGGCTACAACTCACAAGACAGCAAAAAGGAGCACATCCAAAACACCTACAGGGTTGACCTTGGCAACAACACCAGGAGGGACCAGTGAAAATAAGGAACGGTGGAGGCTCAGCTCCCTGAACCTGGAGCTGGATCCGAAGCCCCTGCCCTAAACTCGTTCTGAAGGGTTGTGGCCTAACAGAAGCAAAATCCAATGCACACCTGAGCTTCAGTTAAGTTGTATGGGCCTCCTAGGACCCCCAGGCCCCTCAAAGGCATCAACACTAGCCTAAATTAGGGCACTGGGCTGTGCTTTTCATACAGGGTGGGGTTGAACTTCTTAGTATCATAATGCATATGGGAAAATAATGCCATGAGATCACAAAGATGACCAGAGCACATGGGCACTGGCCTAGGACCTTGGAGGAGTTCAATTTTGAAAACCACTTGTTCCCTGAGGGTAAACAGCAGGCTCACATTGAGATTAAGCGAGGCTAACATGGGGAATTTTCATTACAAAATATCAATGACTTAGGAAACCTCCAGCCAGAATTTCTATTTCACCCCCATATCATCTACAAGACCCTCCCCCACCCCCACTGTAAGTAGTCACCTCCCCAACCACGTAATGCAGGGCAAGTTCTTTCCTCTGCGCGCTTCCGGGCGCAGCAGTGGAAAGTTTACCTTAATGCACCCACTTCAATCTAAAAAACACTAGTGAAAAATCCCAAACATCATCAGAAATACAAAAAAGACATATTCCAAAAGCCTAAAAAACTACATCGCTTCTAACAATGGTTATCTGGGTATGGGGTGTTCCTTTTCATTAAGTTTAGGACGGTCACAAGGAAAGGCTGCTCAACAGAGCTGGGCATACTAAGAGCCTAGCCAACTCTAGAGACCAGGGACATCTCGAGCCAAGGCAAAGAGGCAGAAGGCAGGGCATAGGCTGGCTTCCCAAGGTGAGTCAGACAGAGCAGGGGGAATATAAGAGGCCACATGTCTCCCTGGTAAAAATTCCTTACATTTATTCTATGGCCAAATGAGCTTTGTCTCATCTGTTCTGGAAACTACAAATTTCTGGAAAATTGCTAACTTTTTGATTGGTATGTCCACTTTTGATGTGTCTGGTGCTGGCAGAGTTCCCACACACTGCTACAGTTTTGTGACATGGGAGCATGCAGAAGAAACAGAAGCAACAATTCAAGTAAAGCAGCCTCTTAGGAAAGGCAAGAGGCTTTGCAAGAGCTGTCTCCCAACCTGATCCTCTGAGACAACAGGACTGGTCAGCACCTGGAGTCGTATTGCTATGGGAACACATCAGAAAGAACACCTGGAAATCTGCTCTGCAGACCCGGGCACTGACCAATTTACTGTACACCTGTATATATATATAATATATATAACACAGCCAGATGAGAAGAGGGGGCAATTAAAGCTTGAATTGGATGGTCCATTACAGATCAAATACCCCAAACAGCTCTCAGCCTGCTGGTTTAGTTTCTTTCTCCATAAGTGAACTGTGTTATGAAAGAAGCCCACTACTCAAAATACATTCTTCTACGATACAATGCAAACCAACATCACTCAGAGTCTGTATACAGCACATGTAATAAATATTTTTAGAAAACTATTTACAGCATTACATCTTGTGAACATTTAGATGAGAACAGAATCTACTTTCTGCAAAAGGTTAAAAAGGTTTTGACTGTCTAGTTCAGTGCTAAATTCCCTGGCACCTAGTTACCCATTCACATTTCATTTCAACTTCAGATTTGCTTATAAACAGCATCTGAGAAAACATTCTCCAGCACTACCGTTCACATGCCTTCCTTGTTTAGAAAAGACAAAGGAAGGCCGTAAGGAAATACACAGACTACAGTTCAAGTGCATGACAGTAACCCCTACATATCTGGTCTCCAAGCACCCTAGAGTCCTGCAGCTGCAGGTCAATCCAGCCATCCTAGCAGAGTGACGCAGTGACAGACATGGTACCCATGGATGAGGCCCAGGGACTACAGAGCACGGTTCCACGACACTGAGGGTGCTATGAATTGCAGACCAGGACTCCTGAGAAGCAAAGCTGAACGCACTTTAGAACCATGGGTTACAAATGGGTGAAAGAGGCCACATCTGCGCAGATGCTTGATGAGAAGGGAGGAAAGGAAAGCCAAGGTGTTCTCAAGTGCTGTCAATGAGCAGAAGATGACATGTCTGTCACCTTTGGGTGTGTCAAAGGGCTCTCGTCAATCAATCCTGAGAGCCAGACTAGAAGCTCATACTGGCAACCACAGTGGTTTCTCTTCATTGCATAGACATGAGGCTGCTTGCCATGGGACTTCAACCATGGTCAATCTCTGCCCAGGCCATGGATGTGAACAGCTGAATATGCCAATGGGTGCATGTGTGAGTGGGCTTGGGGGAAGTCCGGATGCTGGGCTGAGCAAAGCCACACCCCTTCAAGCCCCACTTTGGTCTGTGATGGAACATCAGTGCGAACAGCATTCAGGTTCCAATCCACGTTGTGTCTACCCAAATACCGTAAGGGTTTCAAGGTTACAGCCTCCTGCCTTTACTGTGATGTTTAGGGGTTTGATAGCTGAGCAGGGGAGCTGGGAGAACAGATGGCAAGAATAGTTTTTGGAAAGCCCTTTTGACAGTTAGCTAATTTTTGTTAAAATAAATACTTTGTATAGAAGCATTTGAACAGGAAAATATCACTATTTACACAGTAAAATAAATTCCACAGTGGTGTGTATAAATATGTACTCTATATATCTGAAACCAGTCACTAATACAGTCTCCTAGAACTAAGAATGCAGATGCCACTAGTGAAATCAATTACCCTAAGATACAGTGGCTCTAGCAAGAATCCCTACCTGTGGTATAAATATACAAAATTTTGCAAATCCTATATGTATCTTTACCACAAATGCTTCCAAACACAACACACAGCTCTCACTACGAGATGTACAGCATGGTACCA